TAAATAAATGAAAATATTAGCCATCTACAGAGACATCTAAAAAATGATTCCAAGGTTTTTGACCTGATGCCAATTAAGAAAGAAAATGCTAAGAGCGCTGTGGTTTGCAGTAGGATAGACATGCCTGGGAGAAAGGAAGGGACTGGGCTTGAGATAATTTAGGAATCATCAGAAAAAAAGATATTTAAAATCCAGAAACTGAATTCATTCCCGTGGGAAGAGACCAACGATAGAGAAGAAACCAAGAAATAGCAGTCAGGAAGATGAGGAGGAACTAATAATGTGGAGGAGAAACGTGTTTTATCTTGAAAGTCATGTCACAAAGTGTTTTTAAAAGAGAACAAAATAGACTGTCTCCAGGGTTGTTGATCCCTGAGTAAAATAACACTGACAATTGACCTTTGGATTTCAGAATACTACGAGGCTGTGTAAAAGGATGAGAAAGTTCCCTGTTCATTGATATGGGAAAGTGACAAAGAGACACTATTAAGTAAAGAAAGTAAAGTCTAGAATAGTACACGTGATATGCTTTTTTTTTTTTTTTTGGTGGGACCCTCACCAGTGGCCGGAGATCGAACCGGCACTGCAGAGGCTGCGAGCAGTCTTGCAACCCAGCACTCAACCGCTGCGCCACCAGGGGAGGCCCGTGATATGCTGACTTTTATGTAAAAATATACAAGGTATAAGAATTTATATCACTATTTTTTGTATATACTTAAAGAAACCCTGGCAGGATACATAGAAATCAGTCACCTTGGGGGAAGGAAGAACTGGAAAGTTAGGGGACAGGGGTAAGAACAGGAATTTCACGAAATACTTCCTATATATTTGTAACTTTTTTGAACATGTGGATGTATTACCAATTCAAAACAATGAATTACAAATATTAAAGAGCTGAACCTAGTCTCTTAAATCATATACAGTTTTGTAAGCCAATGTTACCTCAGTAAAAGATAAAAATTAAATAGCTGAATTTAATTTGATAAAAGAGAACAAGAAAGAATGGGAGAAATGGAAAAGATGGTGAATAGGGATCATCCTCTGAGATGATTGCTAGAAAAAAGCCTGAAAGGGCAGACACTGGTTGGGAACATGGAATAAAGAGGGTTTATTTTAAGCTGCAAGAAATGACAGCATGCTTGCATGTTCCTGGAATAATCAATAGAGAGGAGGAGAGAGGGGCTGGGGGAGAGCGGTGGAGGTTCATTGCTAGAGAGGTGATTCTGGGTGGTTGAAAAGGCCTGGGATCCCCCAATAAGGACAGTCGGTTTAGAATGTGGTGGAAATTCTCTTTTGTCTGCTTCTCTTTTTCCCCAGAAAAGCAGTAAGCAAGAACATCCACTGAGTGTGAAAAGAATGCAGGAGAAAGACATTGGTCACTGGAGGACAGGAAACAGAAATTTACCCTGACAGATACTGGGAACCCCAAATGAGCCCAGAAATTATAATAAAGGTAGCAGGAGAGCCCAGAAATAGCGAGAGAAGGTATAGACTGTGGAGTGTGGGAAGGTGTCAAATTCATCTGAAGACACGTGGCTCCATTTCATTGTCTCCTTTGCTAGATTCTAAATCCCATGATGACAGGGAGGACTTTGTTCTTGCTTGTCACTGTATCCAGGCCCATAGACAGTACCCAGCATGCAGTAGATGTTTAAAGGAAAAAAAAAAAAAAAACTGTTGGAAGTCCAGACAACAGGAAATAATTGAGAATGACCCAAAAGTCCTCAGTTTCCAAAGGCTGGTAGGGAATACTCACACAATGAGTCCCCTAGCTGCAGACCCTCAGGATGCACTGGGGCTCCTGAAATGCAGGTTGTAGTATGATTTGTGCAACCTACCTCACAGTGCACCAGCGTGCACTGTCTTTCCCAGGCCACTGGGAGACACTACAAGGATGGCTAGCTCATAGCTGTTCTGACTTCGGAATGACGGGCTGTCAGGGACAGTGGAGCAGAAGGGCTGCCGCTGCAGATGCTGATCAGAACAGCAAGCTTCCTTCTGGGAGGCAGGCGTGCCAAGCTAAGGATAGTAATAACGCAGGGAATGAAAGGCCAGAGACTGGAGGGGTGTGGGTGTGAGCAGAGACTCAGCTTAAGGCATTGGGCACAGGGCAGAGATCAGGGAGGGCAGGCAGATAGAGGAAAGACAGTTGGGGAGCCAGAGAGAAGAGTTCCCAGCAGTCAAGCGCCCCAGCTGAAATTCATTAAGCAATAAATATCGAGCACCTACTGGGTTCCAGGCACTGCGGGAGAGCTAGGATACGGGGTGAAGAAGACAAATGAGATCTTTGCTTTCTAGTAAATGTGGCAGGGAGAGCACAGACAACAAAGGGTAAACAAATACAGTTCATTTCAGAGAGTGATGGATTAGAAGGACGATGAGACATACTGGGAAGTAGATTGGGTAACTGAATGACAAGACAGAGCCCACAAGGTGAAGAAAGGGTTGAGGCGGGCAAAGCACTCCAGGAGGAGGGAAATCAAAGTGCAACGGCGCTTAGAGAATGATTTGGGATGTTCTAGAACATCAAGAATTCAGATCTAGCAAACAAGCAAACATTGCTTATGAGGAGTAGAAGTCAGAGAGTCTCTCTTAACAAGGATTTCAGATTTATTGCAAAGTGAATGAGAAATGAAAAGCCAAATATTTTAAGCAGTGAAGAAAATGATATGATTCAGGTATTTTAAAAATATTAGACATTATGAAGACCAGTTTGCCAAGAGCACGGACAGAAGCAAAGGATCAGTTAGGAAGCTACTACAGCATCACAGATGAGAGATGGTGTCTTGGACCAGGATGATAGCAAAATAGGTGGAGTGAAGTGGATTAATCCAGTATATATTTTGGATGCGAAGCTCACAGGACCTGCTAATGAGTTAGATACAGGGTGGGAATCAGTAAGAAAAGGGAAGGGGAGAAAGGATGCTGTCTAGGTTTTCAGCCTGTATAAGTAGGAATCACATTGCCCTAGGATGGGGCACACTGGGAGAGAAATGAATCGGTGGGGCAGAATTCAAGACATCTATTTTAGCCACATTAGCTTCGCTTGGCTGTTAGACAGCCAAGTGGAGATGTCAAGGAGGCTGCTGGCTAAATGAGTTTGGAGCTCTGGAAATAAATTTAGGACTCGCTGACATTTACATAGTATTTAAGTCCTGAGACTGGATGACATCACTGGCCAGAGAATGTGGAAAGAGGGCCAAGGACTAAGCCATAGGAAGCTGTAACGGTAGAGGTCAAGCAGAAGACTAAGAAGGAAATGCCAATGAGGCTGGAGGGAAACAGAAGAGTGCAGTGTCCTAGAAGTACAAGAGTCACAGAGTAATGTGCTAGAGAGGGAGAGGGTGGGATGAGGTGGGAACAGGGAAGGCAAATGTTGATGGAAAGGTTAGGAGAGGCCTCCCAGAGGAGATGTTATTGGACGTAAGTGAAATTTTAATGAGCACAGGGAGTCGTTGTTAAAATTCTGGGGAAAACACCAGGCAGAAGGAACAGCAAGCACAAAGGCCCTGTGGCAAATTAAGCTCCTTTATTTCTAGGAACACGATCAGGTCCGGGGTGGCCGGGCACAAGGAGCGTTAGGGGAGGAAAGCAAAGAGCCACCTGGGGATCAGGTCCTGAAGGGCCTTGTAAGTCACAGCAAGGAGTTCTGACATTCCCGGAGCTAGGAAAGCTGGGCATTGCGACTTGCTCTACTTATGTTAAAGATAATTGGGTTACTTCAAGGAGGGTGCATTGTTGCAGGGCCGCATAAGAAGGAAGCTGTTGTGCTAACCCAAACATGGGGTGAGGTCTTCCATCCCACCCCACCCCACCCCAGCCCCGGCTTTGATCTCCGCAGGGCACGCTCCGCCAGGGGCCGGCGAAGGATGTGGACGGTTAGAGCAGGATGACTCAGAATCCCAAAAACTGAGTGGGGCGACCATAGGTGTCCATGGACTTGGGATGAAAGGGATGGAGAACATGCCCCTAAGAACTCGGGGAGCCTAACGGCCGCTCCGCTGCCCACGCCAAGCCTCCCCCTAACGGGGAGGGCGCGCCTCCCGCAGCGCGGCAGCAGGAGGGTTAAACCTTGACGGGCGGGAGGGGGAGAGGCGGAGACCCGCGCTCCGAGCCGCCGCGCCGAGCTCCGCCGAGCCGAGCCGAGCATCTCTCGTCGCCGCCGCCGCCCCGCGCCCTGCGCGCCCGCCCCCCACCCTCTCTCCAGCGCCCCGCGGCCGGCCGACCTCCTCCCCCGCCCCCCGACCATGCCCGGCGCCCCACCTGCTCCCGCGACCCCCAGCCTCGCGTCTCCCCGCGCGCCCGCAGCTGTCGCGCCGCCGCGCCCGGCATGCAGGTGAGAGGGGGACCCCGGCCCCCACCCGCGGGAGCCGGCCCGGCCCGCGCCGCTGCGCGCCCGCCGCCCGCGCCGTCCTCGCCCGAGCCCCGGCCCCCGGCGCCGTCCCCGCGCGCTGTCCCTCCCCGCGGCGGCCCCGCTCCATCCCGCCCTCCCGGCGCAGCGGTCACCGGCCCCGCGGCCGCCTCCGTCCCGCGGCGGCTCTGCCCGGGGCCGCGCGCAGCCTCCTGCCTTGGGGTCCCTTGCTGCCGCCGGCGAGCCCTCCTCGGAGCGTCTCCGCGGACCCCCGGGGAGGGGCTCCCCCGCCCCCTCTCGCCGCGCTCCCTGTCGGTCCACCGAGCGGCCGCCCGTGGGAGGGTGGGAGGGGCAGAGCGGGGGGCGGCCCGGCTCCCCCGGCCCCGGCTCGCGCCCCACCCCCCGCGCGTCTCCAGCGCACAACAGGTCGGTGCGAGCGCGCGAGGGTGGGGGTGGCGCGCCGGCCTGGGGACTGCGGGCTTCCTGGAGGGGGTGACCAGAGGGGCGCGCGATCGGGGGCTGGAGTTGGCGGCGGTTGCAGGGGGTGTCCTGGGTGCAGAGGCTTGGAGGTCCCGGAGCCAAGTGGCCGCGGGCGCCCCTCTGAGCCCCGCTCCGCTCCACTGGTTCTCGCGCGCACGCCTTCGCCTTCGCTCTGGCTGGGCTGTCTTCCTGGCCCTCACCCCTGTTTCCTTGGCTGTAGATCCCTTTAAATTGGAAGGAACAATTTCCAACTCCTCCATCTTTGCTGTTCTCGTGGTCGGGTTGGGGGACAGACAGTCCCTTCCTCTCCATTCTGTCGCTCTGTCAGGGCCTCTTCATTCCGCATCTCCACCCTTATCCCCCTTCCCTTTTCCCTGTCCCCGTGTCCTGTCCACCCGGACCTTCCCTCCTGCTTCTCCCCCTGCTTGCCCAGCTCCTGTGGCCGCTGCACCCTGTTTCCCCTCCCTCTCCATCACCCCTAGCCTGCTCTCCTTGAGCATCCTGCAGGCTTCGCAGCGTGGTGCCTCCTCCCAGTCCTGCTGTCTCAGGACTGACCCTGGCCCCGGCCCTGTGCCACCTCCTCTTCACCGTCTGGTCCCTTCTCCCCCCAACCCACCTTCCCTCTCAGCTTCTTTCATTAACTTCACTGGGCACTGCCCACTTCCCCACGCCTTTCCCGTCCCATTCCGCTGTTCTCTAAGAGGACTTCACGCACACATTCAGGGCCAGAATCCAGAGGATCCGTGTGTCCATCTCCTCGTTCATTCTGCGCAGCCGGCCCCACCCCCCGCCCTTCTTTTAAAACCAACCATGCAGATTCTTTCAGGAGTCTTTACCCAGGAGAGCTACATTTGTGGGGGTGGCCTCTCCCCAACTCCACCTCCCTTCAGAGGGCACCTAGGCATTTGGATGATTAAACACTGAGCAAAATTATGTTCTGTAGTTTTGCGCCCACCAACCTTCTCTCTTTCTCTATGTCTCTTTCCCTCCATCTCTTCTCCCCTCCTGAAGTTACAGATTCCTGGGGCCTAACCATAAGACAAATGCCTTGGACTCCACGTGGGGTGGGCAGGCTGGGATGTTCCTCTCTCGATCGCTGGCGCTCTCTCGCTCGCTCTTGCTTGCTCTCTCTCGCTCTCTCTGTCTCAGATTGACTTCCTTTTCCCTCCCCCACTCCCAGACTCCCTCCCTCTCTGTAGGTGCTCAAGGCATCACAAGGTTCTTGACTCTAAATTAAGATCCAAGACAAGCTTGGAGCTGTGGGCAGAGGAAGTGAGAAGGAAGGAAGCCAGAGAAGTGAGAGTAGACCCTGGGGTGGGGAGGTAACCGGGCTGGGTAAGTTGTTGAGAGGGGCTGGGGGCTAGATGGAAACCACCCTGGGAATTTTCTTCCCCCGGTGGATGTTAAGAAGCAGTGGGTGCTGGGTGACAGCAGCAAAGCTGGCAGCCAGCAGCCTGGGCGGGGACATGGGGGTAGAGCTAGTAGATGAATCATCTGGGAAGGTACTGGCGTCAGGGTGGGATGTGACGACCCCCTTTCTCCCTCAGTAAGGGCTGAAAATCTGGGTCACAGCTGAGGAAGATCTCGGACATGGAGTCCAGGATGTGGTAAGTGTGGCACAGCAGCGGGAGATTGGAGGCTATCCCCGAGGTCTTGGCCCTTCCCTTCCTAGATCTACCCGCGGCCTTCCATTCTGAGAACTAGGCCCTTGCAAGAGAGGAAATGAGAGCAGAGTCTTCCCAAGGCCCATATACTTTTGCAGGGAGACCTGGAGGGAGGTAGCCTCCCCACACCAGCCTGAGATGGACTTGGTCCTCACTCACTTTCTCTCCCTTCTTGCAGGCCTGCACTGCTGCTGTCCCACCTCCTCCCTCTCTGGCCACTGCTGTTGCTGCCCCTTCCCCTGCCTGCTCATGGCTCTTCCTCCTCCCCACGAACCCCGCCAGCCCCAGCCCGCCCCCCATGTGCCCGGGGCGGCCCCTCGGCCCCACGCCATGTGTGCGTGTGGGAGCGGGCACCCCCACCAAGCCGATCCCCTCGGGTGCCAAGATCACGTCGGCAAGTCCTGCCGGGCACTGCACCCCCTGCCACCCCATCAGGCTTTGAGGAGGGACCTCCCTCATCCCAGTACCCCTGGGCTATTGTTTGGGGCCCTACAGTGTCTCGAGAGGATGGGGGAGACCCCAACTCTGCCAATCCTGGATTTCTGCCCCATGACTATGGTTTTGCAGCCCCCCATGGGCTGGCTACCCCACACCCCAACTCAGACTCCATGCGGGGTGATGGAGATGGCCTCATCCTTGGAGAAGCACCGGCTACCCTGCGGCCATTCCTGTTTGGGGGCCGTGGGGAAGGTGAGTGGGACTGAAGGAGGCTGGTGGGAAACTCTAAGGGCTGCAACAGAAGCCTTGTCTGTTTGTCCTTCCACAACTGTGTCAGGCACTCTGTTGGCGTGGGGCCAGAGAGGGAGCTAAAACCAGCAGGAGTTCAGGACCATACTCGGGGATGAGTCAATGTCACAATTGCTCTAATAAAGGCACGCACAGCATGTTTTTAGGAAAAGAGGGGAGGGAGAGACTACTTCTGCCTGGGAATCAGGATACCTTCCAAGAATTGACACTTGAGCTGGACCCTGAAGACAGAGTGGCAGTGTTGCAGGCAGAGGAGCGCCATGGATGAGCGGGGCCTCCACCGTGACATCTGGGCTTGGCTTGGGGAATGCCCAAACTGGGCCAGTGGATTGGGGGTGGGACCAGGGCAGTGGTGGACATTCCCACCCTCTCCTTTCTGTGCAAAGAGAGGGGTTCTCTCTGATCTTGGAGACTCCCCCTCATCACATCTCTACAGAAGACTTGGAAAAGTAGAGGGAAAAGACTTGGAAGGAAAAGTGCTAAAACATCCTCCCCTCCTAGGAAAGCTGTTAGGAATGAAGGGAGTGTGGGGAGCTCCAGAGCCCCAGAAGAGCCAGGCATTGAGGACTGAAATAGAAACGCTGCTCATGTTTACAGATGCCACAGCCTAACCCCACCCCCACTCCCTCTTGGTTCCTGCCACTTCCTGTCTCCCTAAAACTTTCTCTCCACCCTCATCAGGCGTGGACCCTCAGCTCTATGTCACAATTACCATCTCCATCATCATTGTCCTGGTGGCCACTGGCATCATCTTCAAGTTCTGGTAAGTTCGGGAGGAGGGTGCTGGCAGACGGGGACTCAATGTTGGCTGGGAGGAGGGAGTGAGGGCAATGATTTCACTGGAGGTGGGATTGAAAGTGGTGGACTGGAAGAGACCTTAAGAAAGGGTGATAAGGATTTGAGGGGGGTGGGTGGTGAAACAGTGAGAAGTCAGGGCTGCTTCTTTCCCCCAAGTAAACAGAGGGGTAGTGGGAAAGGTAGGGGGATTCTTTACATGCACTGGGGCTGGGGTAGACACCCCTTGTTCCCATGTCTAACAAGACAGAGAACCTGACTCAGTCTGCTTCCTGGGAAGGAGGGAAAAAATCTGGAGCTTTCTTTGAGCACATTTAATAATGGGTCACTCAGTCCTTCACACTTTACTGAGAGAATCATTAGACTGAGGTGTCCCGGTCATTAGCTGACTTTGGCTAGAACTAAACCTGCCAGGCGCCTGCTGAGGAGAGAAATGGCTCTTCTGGGTCTGAGTGGGGGAGAGGCTCTATGTGTTGGTCCGGAGGAGGTACTAATTCTGTGGATCTGGATCTGGGTGGGAGGGTGGTTTAGACCTCTAGCCCCTTGGGGGACAGAAGTGACTTTCTGGAGACACGGTCTCAGGGAATTTGGAGTAGGGAACTCTTCAAAGGCCAAGTTTCTCTGCTGTAGGGTGTTGGGCATACCTGAGGAAGGCTGGGGGTGACCTGCTGCAGGCCCCCCCTTCTCCTGGGGGGCTTCTTTAGTGTGTGAGAGAACCTCTTTCCTTCCGGTGCACCAGCTGGGACCGCAGCCAGAAACGGCGCAGGCCCTCGGGACAGCAAGGTGCCCTGAGGCAGGAGGAGAGCCAGCAGCCACTGACAGACCTGTCCCCTGCCGGGGTCACTGTGCTGGGGGCCTTCGGGGACTCGCCCACCCCCACCCCTGACCATGAGGAGCCCCGAGGGGGACCCCGGCCTGGGATGCCCCAGCCCAAGGGGGCTCCAGCCTTCCAGTTGAACCGGTGAGGGCAGGGGCAAAGGGACAGGGACGGGAGGGCAGGGTGGGCAGACAACTTAGGTGTCTGGAGCTGTGGTGGGGGTGCTCCCTCCAGGGGGGTGGGGAGGAGGCAGGAGGCTGGCCCTCCCAACGGGGCTGGACCCCGCATCTCTCCATGGGGGACCCCTCCTCCTCTGCTCTGCGGATCTATGTCCGGTCCTGGTCCTGCCATTTAACTCCCCGCTCTGCCTCTCACCCCGGACTCCCCTTCTTTGTCTTGGACTTCCCTTTTGCTACTGGCCTACCCCTTGGTTCCTGACTGTGCCCTTTCCCTCTTCCTCTCAGGATTCCCCTGGTGAATCTGTGATGCCCCCAGTGTTGGGGTGCCGCCAAGCAGGAGGCCAAGGGGCTGGCATGGCCCCCATCCCACTGAGGGTGGGGCTGCTGTGGGAGCAGGGGGGCCCACAGGTGTTCCTGGCTCCTGCCCCTGCGCCCCTGCTGCAACACCACTGGCCCCCTAGGCAATCCTAGCTGCTCACCCTCCTTTAGGTGGGGGCCATCCATACTGGTGGTGTCTGGTACCCTTTCTCCACCCTTGCACACTCACATGAAAGCCTTGCACACTCACAGGCCATTGCGCACACTCATGCTCTCGTCCAGTCTTCTGCACCCTCTCCCAGGCACATCTCTCCTCCCCGCGGGTCTCTCACAGTCTCCCTTCTGTTTCAGTTGTCACTTTCTGCCCCCCGCATCTCCTACTCAGCTCGGTCATGCTGTGGTCAGTGGGTGACTTGACCGTTAAAACTCTCCTGTGCATTTCCTCCCCCCATGTCGTGGTGTTACGTGTGTCGTGCTTACACTTCCCTCACGAACACCTGCTGATCCAGTTTCTGTGGCCCCTGCATGCTGTCCCAGACGTGGGTGGGAGGTGAGCTGGGGGCTCCGTGTGCCCCTGCCTGTCCCAGTCCCATCCCATTCCATGTCGCGTGTCTCATGGTCTCCCCCACCCCACTTCCAGGGCCTGGCATTACCCTGAGGGCTGCACTACATGAGAAAGGGGCTCCCATTTGCCCTTCCCTCCCTCCGAAGTCCCTTTGTCTGTCTGTCCTGGCTGTCTGTCTGTCTGTGTGCATCACTCTCTGGAATTCAGAGCCCCTGAGCCAATCCTTCACTCCCTAGTCTCCCTTAGGGCTCCCCTAACGCCACCCAGGCTGCCAGGGACTGGACCCAGCTGGTTCAAGGCCATCGGGAGCTCTGCCTCCCAATCTACCCCTCCCCGCCCCAGCCTTCCTCGCACCCCTCCTGCCCTCCCTCCTTTGTTCTCCCCCACCTTCTACCTTCCTTCTTCCTCTCTTACCTGGCTCCTATGCTGTGATATATATTTTTGTATTATCTCTTCTTGTGGTGATAATCTTGAATTCTTGTGGGATGTAAGTTTCAAAATTTTCAAATAAAGCCTTTGCAAGATACCTGAGTCCCCTGGTCCTGCCTTTTGACCCTGCAGAGAGGGGAGGAGGCAAGGTCATGGGAAGCCAAGAGGGAGGATAAGAAGCATGTGCAGGGGGCGGGACCCCCCACCTCCCAGACTGGATGTGGCCTGGCCTGCTCTGAAGGACTATATGTTGGAGAGTTGGCATCGGGGGCTTTTGCTGGGGATAGAATGGGAGGGAGGAGGAAGGCGGAGGAACTGAAGGGGGCAGCCCTGAGAAGGAGTAACTGGAGCACGAGAGGAATGAAGAGGGTCTTGCTTATTACTTGCCAGAGAAGGTCAAGACCATGAGAAAGGAGCGTAAAAGAGGAAATGACGTAGAAAGACAGACAATGGAGCAAGCAAGAAAAAGGAGAAAGCTGATGAGACAGGGTGAAGGTGAAAGAAGAGAGAGATGAGAGGGAGCTGCCCTGTTTGGTTTATTTTCAGCCTTGCTCCCAACCCTGCCCCCACCCACAGCTGCCCCCCTCCCCCAAGGCTGTACAGCGTTAGATGCCCTATGACTGACTCTCATTAGCTTCCCCCTCTCTGCCCTCCCTGCCCTCTCTGGGCTGTGGGGGCGGGATGGGTGTATCTGGGGGAGGGAACACAGACTGCCCAGCTGGGATCAGTCACCTCTGAGCCCCCAATTCCAGGTTTGGCTCTTAAACCGCCCTGCAGAAGCCCACACATCGGCCTCCTGGCAGCTGCTAGGCTCTGTTGTCATGGTAACCACCTAGGTCCCATTTCTCCCCCCATCCCATCCGTGCCCCACTTGCTCCGGGGAAATGGGGTAGCTCCAGGGAGGAGAGGGGACTGCAGTGTGCACGAGGACAGTCGGGGTGCCCCACGCTGTGTCTGCCTCCTTGGGTTTATCCTTGCAGCCTGAAGGAGGATGCGTAAGTGTTGGTAGGTATGTGTTCTAGGTGTTGGGGAGGTTTCACCGAGCACTCAGGGAAGTGTAGCTGTGTCCAGGCATCACCAGTAGCGAGTGGGGAGGAGGGAGTGTATTTCTCAGGACCGCAGAGACATGTACACAGGGCGTCAGACTCCCTAAGAAAAAGACAGACTGCTATCAAGGGCTCAGCAGCAGAGCGGCACCGAGGAGTGTGGAACCACCTAAAAGCAGAGGTGCAAGGCAAACAAGCTACTGAAGGGGACTGAGTCAACTCAGTGGATCACCCCCTCCCCACCCCCCCAAGAGATCTGGGCTGTAGCTCATGCAAGGGAGAGGGATGGGTGGGACCTGGGGGATGCAGGAAGAGGGCCTGAGGGGCTGGGTGGGGGCAGTGAGGGAGGGGTCCCTCGAGGAAGGAGGAAGAAACCTCATTAACCTTTCCCTGCTCTCCCCACAGGTGAGGGTGGGGGGAAGAGCAGCACAGGCTCTGAAGGGAAGGAGCCCAGGTGCCTAGGGAGCCGCTGGCTCCTTCACCTTCCGCAACACTCTCTTCAGAGGGACACTGTGACCTCCTGGCTCATCCATATGCAAAAGGCACACATGAAGGCCCCTAATGAAGAGGGAATTAATTATTCCCTGATTAGACTGCTGTTTCTCTACATTTAAATAAATTAAAATACACCAGCGAGACACTGGAAACCCTCACCTGTTCCTTCTCCCTAAGTGCCCTCTTTCCCCATGGAAAGTCAAATGGCTCGAAAAGGAGAGAAGAGGAAGGAGATGGCCTAGTCTCCTGAGTTGTCCTAAAGGAACTACCCCAGATGAAATCACATGGTCACAATAACCATGCCAGGTTGTGAGGGCCTGGGAACAGATCTAAACCCTTCTCTCTCATGGCAACTCGAGACTATGGGGCCTTGGGGGGTCCCCTCAGAAGGTTGCAAGAGGTGGAGCAGAGAGTCACTGCTTAGAACAGATCAAGAACATGGTGACAGCCATATTGTTGTAGAGCAACCCCGATACAAAACGGGGTGCCTGACTGTGGGTCCTCCCCCTCACGCTTAAAAGGACTTATCAATGCTCCACTGCAGGCACACGCGAAAGGTTAATAAAAGGTTTATTTACAAGGGAAGGGGAAATGAGGAAATGTACAGCTCAGGGAGAAAAGTGGGAGACAAAGTTTTAAATGCGTCCTACCCGATCCGCCGATCTGGAATCCCAAATGGCACCCTGAGAGCTGGCTGCAAGCCAGGAGCCATGAAGCCAGGAGGCGAGCGACAAGCGAGCCACCCCAAGGCCCACGTGTTTGGTTTTTATACCCAACCTGGCTGCCCAACTCCACCCTCAGGTCCCAGCCACCTTCCCTTTGGTGGTGATGGAATATGTCTTGATGGCTTTAGTCTGGAGTGGGGGTGGGGTCCACAAAGCCTGTATGGGATTAGCTCAGGACATCCTTTACCCTAACAATATCACCTTTTGGTTCTTGGAGGTCTCACATCAGAGGCACCACAGGACTCAGCATCTCATCGAACATCGTGCTTTCTTCGCCTCCTGTACTATGTATCACATGACTCAGCCAGCTACTCTTGAGCATTTTTCTTGAATGCTTACCATTGTGGCTCAGACCAAACCAGGGAATGGGGAAGCCCCCAGGAGGAGGGATCTCCCAGGCAGAGCGCAGGGTGTGGAAGTGATTCAAAATGGGAAGAGCATGCCAGCTGGAAAACCCCAGGCTAAAATTAACAGCCCTCCTCCCCCTACACCCCACATTTATCTCTTTAAAGCTTTTCTCTAAGGAGTTCAAAGCGTTTAAAACGTGCTTCTTATAGCAAGGGCTGGAGCAGGACTGACAAGAGAATATATTGAGGCCCAGGGAAGGCCAATTAATGTAAAAGAACAAGAGGCAAACCAGCACTTATAATGATTACTACTGTCTTGCTCCCATTTTTCTATCTCAGAGCCCAAAGTCAAGGTTTCTCAAATCAGTACTTTCTAACCTGTGTAGTAACTAAGTCTGGTCTCATCTGAATTTTTAAGATCGTAATTCTGCCAAACATTGCTACTCACTCAACACTGATCCAGTGCAATGCCCCAAAATGTGATCAAGGGAAAAGCGTGGACACTTTTGAAAAGATACAAACCATAATTACAGGTCAAAGATGTATATATGTTTTTTAAACATGTAATTTAAATACTTTTAGGAGTTCTTTGCTTCTTGCTTGCTGCAACTTGGGGGAAAATACAACTAAACCTTCAGGATGATATTTTCATGATCTGTAGTGTCTGTTATAGTTATTTTGCTCACAAAGCAAGGCGCTATTAATGTTAGTAGGTGGGACTTCACTTCTACTTCAGCCAAAATAGAGGAATTCTGTCAGATCCAGGGTGTAGTCTGCTGGTTGCACTCATTTACTCCTGTTATAGGGCAGGGAGAGGGGCAGCCCAAACCCCGCAAACCTGCCTATTTTATGTAGGGTTCTGCCATCCACCGCATCAACACAAAACATATAAGACTTTAATGGGAAGGAACTTTAATACAATTAGGAAACAATACAGGAAAGGCAAAGAATATAGTTTCTAAATGAAGTACCCAAAGTTACCCGTCCCCTCGTGAGTAAAAGTCCATCCAAAGGAAATTGGCCCAGAGCAAGGCCCCAAAGCCTGCCACAAGTCTAAAGCACCTTCCAGTGGGGACCCACAAAAAAGGGTCAAAAACAACTAGGCAAGCCCAGAAGGAAAAGAGCAAAATCAAAATCAAAATAAAAGCTGCCATGGTCACCTCTCCACGGGTCTCACCCACATCTGTGTCACCCAGTCCACGACCAAAAGACAAGCACAGTTTCTTCACGTGTCTCTAGGCTCCATGCGCCTCCTCCAGGTCTCCTTCTGGCTCCATCCTGCTCCTTCCTCCTTTTCTTCTGCAGCTTCTCCTCTTCCTGCTCAGCTCCACCCTCCCTTGGGTGGGGCAGGAAACTCCCCCTTTCCTAAGGACCATCCTGTTACACTCCAATGATAAGACATTTATTCAGCATCTACTATGTGCTCAGCAAAGTCCTGGGAATGATAATATATAGGAGACTGTTTCTTCACTGAGGGATTGACGATCTTGCAGAGGAATCCCACATACAAAATAGTTAAAAAAGAAAAGAGGGGTAAAAGGCAATGAAAGGTACAGACCACTGCGGGAATTCAGAGAAAGGGGCCCTCATGCATTGGAGTAATCAGGGAAGGCTTCCTGAAAGAGTTCATATTGCTTGTTTATGTAACAAACCTTTACTGACCACTTACTAAGTGCCTAGCTAAAGTACTTACCCTCATGGATGGGTATTCTATTCCAATGTCATATTCTAGTGGGAAGAGATAGACAGCTTATTATCAGGTAGTGTTGAGTGCTATATCTAAAAGCAAAGCAGGGTGGGTCCCTCCGGTGGCACAGAGGTTAAGTCTCAGCACTATGACACTGTAGCGGCAAAAAGGTACAGTGCAGGATTTCTATGATTCATGCAGACGGGGTAAAGGATCTCTCCTGGTGTCCTCGGTGGCTTTTGCAGGCTTTTATTGGGATTTACTAGGTACACGGCAGGCAGGGGTATTGGGGGGGGGGGGCTGGCAGACCTCCCAGCCCCCCAGCGAGCCTTCACTCTTTCTGGGATCTCCAGTATTTTTTCATGCTCTGCTTTTTCTTGTAGTTCTGCTCTTCCGCTGGCATCCCCATGACGCCACCCTTATAAGCCCAGTCTCTCAGCCCAGGTGTACCCACCTATGCATGCCCACACCCTACTCCAGGTGTCCATCAGGCATACATTGAGGACCACAGAGTTCCATTATCAATCCTAATGGCGGTGTTATAGGACAGGGAGAGGGGCAGCCCAAACCCCGCAAACCTGCCTATTCTAAATGGGTTCTGCCATACGCCGCATCAACACAAAACATAGGAGACTTTAATGGGAAGGAACTTTAATAAAACTAGGAAACAATACAGGTAAGGCCAAGAGTCTAGTTTCTAAATGAAGCACCCAAAGTTACCCATCCCCTCGTGGGTAAAAGTCCATCCATATGGGAATGGCCCAGAGCAAGGTCCCAAAGCCTGCCACAAGTCTAAAGCATCTGCCAGTGGGGACCCACAGAAAAGGGTCACAAACAACCAGACAAGCCCGGAAGGAAAAGAGCAAAATTAACATCAAGATAAAAGCTGCCATTGTCACCTCCCCATGGGTCTCACCCACATCTGTGTCACCCAATCCATGACCAAAAGACAAGCACAGTTTCTTCACGTGTCTCTAGGCTCCACGCGCCTCCTCCAGGTCTCCTGGCTCCATCCTGTTTCTTCCTTCCTCAGTCTCTTCTGCAGCTTTTCCTCTTCCTGCTCAGCTCCACCCTCCCTTGGGTGGGACAGGGAACCTCCCCCTTTTCTGGGGACCACCCTGTTACAGCGGGAGGGCAGAAAAGCCTGATACTTTTTACCTTACCCTACACACACTCTCACAGCTGAAGTTTTTTTTTTTTTTTTAAAGATTTATTTTTATACAAGAACTGGGGTACAGGCCAGAGGCATAGGAGGGTGAGAAGATTCACCAGAGACAGAGCAGGGAGCAGAACAGAGAGATGGACCAAAACACACTGCTGAGGGGAGCAGTGGGTGCGACAGGAGAGGTCTGCCTGTAGAGATTGGGGACAGCTTCACAGCGATGCGCTCAACCCGCTGCACCACCAGGGAGGCCCTAAAGTTTGAGTTAGCTACCCTGCCCGGGGAGCTAACCCACGTATGGCACAGCAGACCTCTCCTGTCCCACCCTCTTCTCCCCTCAGCAGTGTATTTCAGTAGGTCCACCAGTTCTACTCCCCACTCTGTCTCTGGCGAATGTTCTCATTTCTGCTCCCCCCCCCACTTCTGGCCTATACCCCTGCTCTTCTAGGCAAAAATAAATAAAATCTTAAAAAACAACAACAACAACTGGGGCTTCCCTGGTGGCACAGGGGTTAAGAGGCAGCACTATGAAGCTACTCGCAGCTACTGCAGCACGAGTTCAATCCCCAGCCAGTTCCTCCTGTACCCACATGGCTCAGCAGATCTGTCTAGTCTGCTGTTCCCCTCAGCAGTATAGCTCAGTCAGTCTGGCTGTTCTGCTCCCCACTCTGTCTCTGGTGAATCCTCTCACCCACCCCCCACACCTCTGGCCTGTACCCCAGTTCTTGTATGCATAAATTAATAAATCTTAAAAAAAAATAAATAAAGCAAAGCAGGGTGAGGAGATAGAGATGAGAGCAAGAAGAACATAAAGAACATCAAGGGGCCTCCCTGGTGGCGCAAGGGGTTAAGAGGCAACCTATGAAGCTGTCCTCAGCCTCTGCAGCAGGAGTTCGATCCCCAGCCAGGGGGCTACCCACATGGCACAGCAGACCTCTCCTGTCTTGCTCACTGCTCCCTTCAGCAGTGTATTTCAGTAGATCAGCCTGTTCTGCTCCCATTCTGTCTCTGGTGAATCCGTTCACACACACCCCCACGTCTGGCCTGTACCCCGGTTCTTGTATGCATAAATAAATCTTTAAAAAGAAATGACATCAAGTTAAGAGAATACGGGGTGTTGAGAATAAGATGGTCAGGGAAGAGATGGGTACAATTCTGATGGCTGAAAAGATTATTCATTACTCTTTGGGATGGATTAAGTACCGACCTCAGAAAAGTACCTACACACCGTAACCTTTAATGCATATTCAAATAGAGACATTCCTGAGAGTATAAGGAAAAATAATAGTAACTGCCTGTATCGGTCAATGGCACCCAGAGGAAGGGGTCCGGGACCCGTATTTTAGGAATCCATATGTCCCCTCGTACCTTGATGCATAATTCATGAACCCGTCGCGTCTCCACCCCCCACATCCCCAGAAGTCCCTTCCGGAAGCCCGGGACCGAAGTTCGGAGGGTTCAGCTTCTGCCCTTAGCTTAACCCAGCTTCACTTCCGCCGTGACGTCACGTCCATGGAGGGCGTCTACTGTAGTAGTCTACTACAGAAGCCACTTCCGCCCCTGCTGTCGTAACTTCCGCCCTGAGTATCCTCGGGCGCTAAAGACGCCGGATGTGCTATAGCCGCTCCCGGAAGTGACTCGACCTTTGCATTTCCCCCCTTCCCCATTACCGCCCCCCCTACGTTGCTATTTCCCTCCCTCCCCCCTTTTCGTTTCCGGCGCTCCCGCCTTCTCTCCGCGGCCGCCCGACTCCGAGCCAGTGGGGGGAGGGAGGGAGGGAGGGGGCGTGGAGGAATTGGGGTTCTAGAGAGCACGAGCTGCAGCACCACTTCCGGGTGAGTGTTAGGGGAGGGAGGAGGGAGCAGGGAGGGGGCCACCCACCGCCTGGCGCCCCCGCCCTGCGGGTGTCTCGCGCGCATTCCGTGCGTGTGAGTGTGTGGGTCTGTCTCGCGCCTAAAGTGCGTGCCCGCGCGCTCCGCCTCGCGCTCTCCCCCCTCCCCTCGCCCCCTCCTGATCCTCCCACCCCGCGCGGCTCCCTCCTTTCCCAGCAAACGCCGCCCCTCCCGCGCTCTGGCTCTGGCGCCGCCGCAGCCGTCGCCGCCGGGTGAGTCTCGCGCCGCTGCAGCCGGCGCGCGCCAAGCTCTCTGCTCCTCCCCCTCCCCTTTTCCTTGGGGGGGCGGGGAAGGGGGGGTCCTCGGTGTGACTGTATGTGTGTCCGTCCCGGAACCGGAAGTGGTTGTGCAGGAGCGGGCGATGGGGAGGAATGGGGGGGCTTAGGGGGCGGGTGTCTGTCTGGTGGGTGGCAGAGTTCAGCTCCCAGGAGGGGAAGGAGGGGCGTCCCAAAGAAGGGTCTTTGAGAAAGGGGTGGGGGACGACCTCAGGAGAAGGCTTCCAGGGCCTGTCGCCGGGGAGCGAAGGTTTCGTGGGGACCACTGGGGTCTCCAATAGATAGAACACTGTGCAGGCTGAGGGAGGTACTTCTTGGCGCAAGGCCTTGGGTAGGCAGGAGCGAAGTCCTCGCAGAAGTGGGGGGGAGGCCAGAGGAAGTGGCTGGGCCTGAACTGGCACTGTGCCTGACACAAGGCTTGTGCATACCCCCCAGTCCTCAGTTTTGCCTTCTGAGCCCATCCTCAGGGGGCAGGGACACTTCTCTTCCTCCAACTCTTCTGTCCTTTGACCCGTGGTTACCCGTGGCCCTGGGGAACGAAGAAGTAGTGTCTGAGCCCAGGAGTGAAACCCCGACACTGGTGATAGAGTTCACCTTAATTGCTAGGAACTGGATTTATTGCCCTTGTGTCCACATAGGGGGTGGCACAGCCCTCCTGTTGTTAATAATCCGTGCGTCTTTGGATCGTTGCTTGGGGGTCTGCCTGCCTTCCAAACTAACTGCTGACAGTCAGAGAGTTCCTGAAGTTCTTCACAATTCTCTGGTGGCTGCACCTTCCCTGGCCCCTGTAACTCAGACACTTTGTTTACAGAAAGTTCAGGAGCCCTGGAAAGGAGAAGGAATAAGACGACAGGAGGAAGAGAGAGAGAGGGTAAGACAATTTTGGGTTAATGGCTTTTCTGGTTTGGGGGGAGAGTGGGTCATAATCAAATGGGCTTTCTTTGGACAGTGGGACAGAATTCTCCAAGTAAGAGCTATTATAATACTGGTGTTTGTTGTGGAAGGAAAATCAGCCTTTTCCTGTTATCTCTTGAGGGTGTCCAGGAAGTTTGTGTGTAAGAAGTTGGTGCTGTGTCCCATCACCTTCCATTCCCAGCAGCCTTCACCAGGACTGAAATGGCCAATCATTAAGTAATGTTGCATCTATTTAAAGGAGAAATTTATTCTGCTTTTGGGACAAATGGGCCCTAGCTGCCAGTAAAGTCCTTGTGGCATAGTTTATGGAATTGCTTTCCTGAATTTGGAACAAGCAGAGTTGAGGTGAGAGCGGGGTGTATATCCTTAATGTTGCAGTGGGGTGTTTGCACTGGATCTGTTGAGTGATTAGAATCTGTGGCACAGTGTTATTTGACTTTGGCATGGCAGGGTGAAGTTTTCAGGAAAAACTTGGTTCGTGGGCAGTTTAAAGTAAAGTGGATAAAACTATATGAAGTGGACTCCAAAAGTACGTCTGCAAAATTCAAATTATCAGACTTGATGGGGATAGAGTTTTAAGCAGCCTGAAATGACAATGTATGTCCCCAAGAGTGTGAGTTCAGAGTTTATAATCCTAGAGATCTTTTCTGATTCACGGAAGATATTCCTCACAGGTTTCTGAGCCACGTAATGTTTAAATATTGGATGCATAACCTCCCCTCTTTTTCTCCCCTCTTGATTGCCCGACTCCTTCATTCCTATGGAATGGACAGGACAAGGGGAACTACTCTCTTTTTTTCCTGCAGGGTACAGTGGTCCAGCAGTGCCCAGAGTAGACATTGCTGGCCCAGGTTGCCAGCTATGTAGTGGTAGTGGACCCTGTTGGTCTTTTTGAGGGTGGACTGATGGTCTTTCCCAGTGCGAAATAAACCCTTTCTAAATTTTGCACTGGGCAGAGTTAACAAATAATAGGAAGACTCCACATCCTATTGCAATGGCCCTTCTTGAATGTTCTTAGGACCTGAAGAAAAGATTTTGTCTCCTTACAGAGAAAAAAATGTTCTCTGTGTATCTTCACTTCAAATCTTTAACTGATACTGCAACATTTGTAGTTGAGCATTTAGGAACAGTTGTTCTCAGTGGAATGTCTGAGATCCATGGGTCCAAGTTCTCTTTCTGGGTGAAGCTTCAATTGTTTTTTGCACCTCTCTTTCTTACTAGTGCTTCCAGTTGATTACTAAGTCAGGGGCTATAGATCTGATACTTTGGGGTGGTTCCTTTGTAATAATGTGGTCTTTATGTAGTTCCCACTAACTGCCACTAAGTTTTCATCACATGGAACTCTTTCTCTGTTTTCATCTGGAGAGCACCCGAACTTTCTCTTCCTCATTTCTGTGCTGCTGCATTCCATCACCGTGTTTTCTGAGTCTGTTTGAAGGGGTTTATTCTCCTCCATCTTCTACCCAGTTAGGAACTTAGTAGAATAATAAATTATTCAGTCATCTACTAGCATAGGATATTAGATTCCAGAAGTCTTGATTCCTCCATCTGTGCTCTCGCCACTAAACTTGGTTGGTGCAAGTACTTCATGATTTTCTAAAGGCTGGTTGAGAGTGCTCTTTTCTTGAGAAAAGAAAATCATGCTTTATTTGAGAAACAACTAAAAAATTATAGTTTGTACTGAGAAAGTCTTCGCCATGTTTGCCAAAACCACGTGTTGGAAGTTGTGACATCTCTCTCCCTGTGCACTGTGGAAGGATGGACAGGTGGACATAGTTCTGACACAAGAGTTCAAGTCCTACTATATGTCTCAGGGGTATTACTTAATACTATCTTTCCCCTTCATGTCCTCAGTGCTTCTGAGATTCTTTTGAGATTGGAAAAGGAATATGTAGTTTCTTGAGCCTCCTGAAAGAAATGTGTCGTCCAGCTTAATTATAGTAAATCTCCCTTTTTAATAGAATAATTGAGGCAGGGTGCTTTGGTAAAGTTAAAATTAGAACCCAGATTTTCAATCTGCCAAGATTCTTCTTTCCACCTATTAGTGTCTTTCTTTCTTTCCTGCTTTTTGGGACAAAATAGATCCTTCCTCTTCTACTCCAGTCTAGGATAGACAGGGCCTTCCCCCTCCCAACCCCCCTTCCCCCTGCCGCCACACACACCTGTATGTTAGCATAATTATCAAAACCTGTGCTCTCTAGCTGTGAGGTTCCTTTCTGGTATCATTGAGCGTCTTTGTGTTTTAAGAACATTATGTTCCCAGCTTGGATATTGGGGAGCTTGGTGAGCGTTCTGCTCTCCATGAAAGTTAGAGAAGTGGCAAAGTGGGAAAATGGATAGTAGAGAGGTGCTGAGTGATCTGGCACCCAGGGCACCCTGTTTCACAACTGGGGTGGGCAGGCATCAGTTACATTATACTCTGGCAATAGCATTTATTCTGGACTCTCCATTTGCTTTCATTTTCATGATACAGAGATTTTGGTCAGTTTTATCAGAATAGTGGAGTAGCATTTCTTGGGTATTCCTTTGCAGGCAAATATTGCTTCTAGTTTGGGTGAGCATTGCTCTCCATGTACCCACCCTTCCCCCCCCACCACCACCACCTTTGGTGCTGACATAAGTATGGTGAAGCCCACAAGGCAAGTGTGGTGATCTGTTTTTGGAACGACTGGTTCTGATCTTCAGCTCTGTTCTCATAAGAACCCAAACAATGATAGACTGGGTGCCCAGGATATGTGTGGGGGGTGCCTTTATTCAGTCTACCTTCTCTGGATAGTCACGATGTTTTTCTCAGACTCCATCATTCTGACATCAGTTATCTTGGTGGCCAAGGATGTAAATAAAGAATATCATATAACTGCCTTCTGCTGTTACCAGAAACTTCATTTACTGAGAGCTGACTGAAAAATGTATTGTTCAGCCCGGGAATATTCTAAATTGTAATTCATGAATTAAGCCAGAGCATCCAGAGAGTGTGTCTATCAGTTGTGTGACTTTGGTCTCTTCATCACAACCCTTTTTCTGACTTGCTCTTTGACCCCAACCGTTACATCCCTGTTTGTTACTTACTGTTTGACTGTGTGCCTCCTATTTCCTTATATTAAAAATAGGGATCTCAGTATCTATTTCATTGAATTTGTTGTGGAGATTAAATAACATGATAGTTTTAGTAAAGTGCTTAGAATAGTACCTAGAAAACAGCACTTAGTAGATATTAGGGATGGTGGTGGTGATGCCGCCCACCATGTCATTTTGTGTGTCCCCTGCAGGAGGACCTACAGGGACTAGTTCCCTCAAAGCTGCTTCACTTGAGCCCCTGGTAGGAAATTATGAATGAATGTAATCTTTTTTGAGGGGAGGAGCCTTGTTTATAGAAATCCTATCTGAGGACATTCTTTCTTTCAGGCTTTCAGTTCCTCCTAAATTTTAACATTGGTAATGTGTATATTTCTGTGATTTTTTTTTAAGGGGGAAATTATATATATCAGACCTTCCTTTCTCTCACCCTCCAGCCTAGTTCTCTACTTCCTTTCCACTAAGAGGTCAGACAGATGAGTTGTGGGTTAAGGTTTGAGTCCCTAGCACTGTTTTCAAAATCTGTGTATGTGCAGTCTGCTGTCATTCAGTTCGTTACATGTGGAATTTCTTACCGGGTGATAAGTCCTATGTTAGAGACTGTGGGGAGGTACAGGATGTGATCCCTGTCTCCCAGAAAGCTTGGTAAGATTAGATCCCCTTATATTGTGATCTGTTTCTTGATTTCTGTCTGTTTCCTAAGGAAGAGCTGAGATCTCTTTATGAAGCTTGTGCTGGAAGGAAAGAAAAAGATTAGCATCTGAGTGGGAGACTTTTATACTGTGTCCTATAACTTGGGGGGCAGTTGCTGTGCTTGATCCTCAAGTCATTTGATGCTGAGCCACGTTTGTGTGAAGTTGTAGTCACAGATTTGGTGCATTCCTCACCTCTCTTTTGCTGCTTTTTTTTTTTTTTTAAGATTTATTTTTATTTATTTATGCATGCAAGAACTGGGGTTTAGGCCAGAGGTGTGGAGAGTGAGAGGATTCACAGAGACAGAGTGGGGAGCAGAACAGGCGGATCTACTGATATACACTGCTGAGTGGAGCAGTGGGCGAGACAGGAGAGGTCTGCTGCACCATGTGGGTAGCTCCCTGGCTGGGGATGGAACTCATGCTGCAGTGGCCAGTGATAGCTTGAAAGCGCTGAGACTTTAACCTCTGTGCCACCAGGGAGGCCCTCCTTTGTTACTTTTTAGAAAAAGGTAGGCTGATGTTCAGTTTTGCTTCTCTTTATGTATTTTATGATAATTGAGAATGCTGTTTAATAGAGCAAAAAATGTGAAAAGTTTTCTGGAGAAGGTTAAGGACCGGGGTTATGTTGAGAGATATGCTAGTTTTATAGTCACTGCTTGGAACCCAGTTTCTGTGCTGTAGTCCACCCTCCAACTCTTTGTATGTGATATCTGCCTCCAGCAGATCCTTGGTGGTACCTGGAGCTGAAAGTCAAGTCTTTATTCCCACCTAAAACTCGCTAGGTCTTGGCTCACAGTAGCAGCATGTTTATACTGTTTACTACTGCTTTTCCTCTTTTCTCTATTTTATCAGTTTCATATTCCTCCTTCCTCCCACTTCCTCTTCTGCTGGACCAGTCTTTCTTGGTCTGGGATGTGGGGAAGCTACTCTTCACCAGCGTGCTGCCAAGTAAACTTTGCTAGAAGTGATCACAGTGTAAAGCTGAGGGTAGGATGCCTGCGTGCTGTACCCGTCTGTGACTTGCTGTGCGAGTCTAAGGAATTACTTTTCTCCTTGTTCCTCACTGCTAAAATTTTAAGCTTCTTCATCATCTACTTACAGAGAAGAACTTGAATGCTCTGAAGCAGGAGTCCAAACTGTGTAGGTGCTTTGGTCCACTGTTGCCCCTACTCTGAATCCCTTCATGGGCGGAAGTCTAGACTGTTAGCGCTTGAGCCCTTTTTTGAACATATAGGTTCACACTGCTCAGCCCAGCATGTGTGGTCCCAGTGCAGCACCACACATGTCCTTAGACCTTGGTGGGATTGGTGGGTGTGGTCCCCACGTAGCACCTGGCACTCAAGAAGTACATTGATTCTGATTCTTGCCAGTTTCATTCTTTAACTCCCTTAGGCATTTTGTGTTCTAGTCTAGAACATTTTCAAGCTGTGTAGAATTGTAGGTATGTCGATTGGAACTCAGTGAAGCTTTTTATTTTAAGGAAGATGGGTTTGAGGGATATTTTGAGAAAAGAGGAACAGTGATTGGTACCCTGTTTCCAAGCCAGTCGGTGATTTGCTTTGGTGACCTCGGACATAATCTGTCCCCTCTCCTCATTTCAGTTTTTCTTTTTGTCAGCAAAGGAAAGTAATGCCAGTTCTGTTCTTTGGGGTGTAGGAAAGAGCCTGTGGGTAAATGGGATGTGTGTAGGTTCTTTCCACAAGCATCTGAACTTGGAGGGCCTCTGTTGGAGGGGACATGGCGCTGTCAGTGGTTCTGACCAAAGGGACTAGCTCTCGATTCCGAGATCTTGACTGCTGATTCCCAGGCACATGGTCAGGTAACAGAGAAGAAACCAGGAACTCCTCCACTCCCCTTCTGCTGACTTTCTTCAGATTTATTCTTGAGTGTGACATGGTCTCTCTCTCTCTCTTCAGGTAGAATGGAAGAATCTCACTTCAATTCTAACCCGTACTTCTGGCCTTCTATTCCCACAGTCTCAGGACAGGTAAGTGCTAGTTGATTTTTTTTTTTTTTTTTGGTTCGCCATTGTGTCCTTCATTCTTCAGTTCTGAGCAATCCGATAACCATGAGTCTCTGTTACCGTGGAGACTGAAGCAAGACAAACTGGGTGCTGGTTCAGTTGGTACCCCATTACTGAGGATTAAGTTCTAGCTTCTATCTGAAAGCACAAAGATACATGCACACCCTTGTCTTACTGTGCTGAACGCTTTATTGCACACCACAGATAACTTGTTTTCTATGAAACTTCCATCAGCAAAAATTACAACTTCCTGAAGGATCAGGTGATGGTTATCATTTTTTAGCAGCAAAGTATATATATATATATATATATTTTTTTTAAGATTTATTTATTTATACAAGCACTGGGTACAGTCAGAAGAGCGGGAGGGTGAGAGAATTCACCAGAGCCAGAGTGGGGAGCAGAGCAGGCAGAAGGACCGAAGTACACTGCTGAGGGGAGCAGCAGGCGGCAGAGGAGCTCTGTGCGCCATGTGCGGGACCCTCCTCCGGTGGCTGGGGAGCAGCCGGGGATCGAAACAGCGCCGCAGAGGCTGCGGGCAGCTTCGCAACCCAGCGCTCAACCGCTGCGCCACCGGGGAGGCCCAGCAAAGTATATTTTAATTAAGGTATATATACTTTGCTTTTTCAGGCATTATGCCATTGCACACTTAGTAGACTACACTATAGTGTGAATGTAACTTATATATAACCAGGAGACAGAAAGTTGGTGTGACTTCACGCGGTTGTGATACTCACTTTGTGGTGGTGGTCTGGAACTGAACCCACAATGTCTCTGAGGTGTGCCTGTGTTAACTGATCGTTCCTTGGTCTCCAAGAGGAGGACAGACTAGACAGATTATTTAGGGAACAAACAAGTCAGATTTTTCCTGAAGAGGCCACCTCTTCCCCTGTCCTTTTCTTTCAGATTGAGAACACGATGTTCATCAACAAGATGAAGGATCAGCTGTTGCCAGAGAAGGGCTGTGGGCTGGCTCCACCCCACTACCCTACCTTGCTGACAGTGCCTGCCTCAGTGTCCCTGCCCTCGGGCATCAGTATGGATACGGAGTCCAAGTCAGACCAGCTGACTCCACATAGCCAGGCGTCCGTTACCCAGAATATCACGGTGGTCCCTGTGCCGTCTACAGGACTGATGACTGCTGGTGAGCACCTCTGCTCTTCTCCAATCTGAGGTCTTGATCTCCCATGATCAGTACCCCAGGCTGGAGGGCACCAAGGACATGGGGAGCGGGATTTGTGTTTGATTACTCAAATTTTTATTAAGTGCCTACTGTATGCCTAGCAATGCACTAGGCATTGTGGGGGATACAAAGAAGTAGAAGATGCGGTCCCTGCCTTTGAGGAGGTGACATTCTTTCCTTCTCTGAATCAAGGAGTCTCCTGTTCTCAGAGGTGGAGAAGAGAAGGGAGTCAATCAAGGGGTAAATCTCACTGTTACCGGGGGTGGGGTGGGGACAGGGGTTAGGAGACCATTATTTGCTACAGGGTTTGGGATTTCCTGTATATTGCGGGCTGGGGGTGGTGGTGAGGGGTTCATTTGACAGTGATCTGGGGGAAGTGACATAGGATTAGCATCAGGACTGGACAACATGACACCATCTCCTTTTTCTCCCAATCCTAGGTCCGGGTTTGGTAATCACGTCCCCCTCAGGCTCCCTTGTGACCACAGCTTCATCAGCTCAGACCTTCCCCATTTCGGCTCCCATGATTGTCTCAGCTCTTCCCCCTGGCTCACAAGCCCTGCAGGTGGTCCCCGACCTCTCCAAGAAGGTAGCATCAACCCTAACGGAGGAAGGAGGTGGAGGAGGTGGTGGAGGTGGCAGTGTGGCGCCTAAGCCCCCTAGGGGGCGAAAGAAGAAGCGGATGCTGGAGTCAGGGCTGCCTGAGATGAATGACCCGTATGTCCTCTCCCCTGAGGAGGATGATGACCATCAGAAAGATGGCAAGACCTACCGGTAAGAAGCAGAGCCAGGGACAGGTAGGGGTGAGGATCACCCTACTCCCGTTGTGTCCTGTCCCAGTCAGGCTCTACACTCAGGCAGCCTTCCACATCAGAGCCACCTGCCTGCCAGGTGTTCTGTTGTGGGGAAGGAAGGGGGAGCTGTAGTGCTGCTTTGGTGCCTCCTCCCCCAGGATGCAGACCCCTCTCACCTCTCCTCTTGGGGTCATCAGCATTGACTTGCTTTTGAGTGACATAATGGTGTTCATGCTTGTAATGAGGTTTTAGACTGGGTTTGAGACTATGTCTCCAGTTCCTCTTTGCTCTCTACATTTTTCATTTCTATTTTTTCCAAGAAACCTTTCTGGTAAGCCCCAAACCTTAACCTGCTTGCCATCTATGAGTTCTTGAGCCATGTTTGAGCCCTGAGCCTGCCGGACCCTGCATGGTTGGGATGATGGGAGGGGTCTGTGTAAAAAGGTGGGAGGAATAGGACACCTCTCCTTCCCCTCATTGCAGTACTTATAAAATGACTGTTTGTTCACTTTCTAATTCATGGAGGTCATTTTGATTCTTTACTTCCTCTAAATTGTCCATTGCCAGCCAGCATTATATGCATATTTGCATGTGGTACTATACAAAGAGCATTACTTAAGTAAACTCCCTCCTTTGAAACTTGGATACCTTTTAATCCCCTTGAGAACTGTTCAGGGCCCCAGTGGGTTTGGGGAGTTTGGTCCCAGTGTGCAGAGTGGCCTAACCACCTTCACAGCTCTGACGCAGGTGTGCATGGCTGGGAGACTGGGTCTGTCCTTAGTGTACCGAGATGGGCAATGTTGTTCCCATTTTAGGAGCGAAGGGAACTGCGGCACAGGAAATGGACAGAGCCTTGGGCTCATGGATTCAGTTCCCGGCTCCACCACGAACTTGCTGTGTGACCCTGGGCAAGTCCTTTTCCCCTCTCTGGGCCTCAGTTTCCTCATCTGTAAAATGGGGAGAATTCTGTTTATGCTTCCCACCTGTTGGGAGTATATCTCAGATTAAGACCTGAAATGTTGGGAACTTCAGAAGAGATAAGAAGTAGTCCTCATTTAGCATTTTTTTTATTTGTGTGGTATACTTCCACTGTGGAGAGCGTAGCCTCAACTACAGAGTTTTTGAAATCCCTCTTTGTAAGTGAAAACGAGGGGAGTATTGCTATGCAGACAGTATTGAGCACTGCAGAATTTTAGCTCATAATCTGAAAGTTCATTGCAGCTTTATTATTACAGGTGTACCCCACTTTATACAATAAAAGTGTTCCTGGAAAATGTTTACATCATATCATATTATAAAGGTACCTGACAAGTTTGATTCATTTAAAGGCTTTCTTTTACATGTCATTTCATACAATGAAAATCCCTTTTAAATTTATTTTGTAGAATTATGAATGGTTAAGTGTTTGCTTGAAGTGAGGTTGATGTGACTTGGAGCTCCACCTGTAGAAAATGTAGGAGCCGTGGGCAGGCTTTTTGACACCTGGTGGCTCCCTTCACATGGATCAGGAGCCTCTGATTTTGATTAAGTTTCACTCATTAGAGCTACATCTGAACTTCCTAGACTGTATATGGGGAAAAGGTAATTTGCCATTGGAAGGAAGCCCCAATGACAGGACTTGCCATGCCCTTGCTGTTTTCATGTTTTGGGGATTCTTAACAGGCTCCATGCCTGGGTGACTAAAGAGAACTCTGAAAATTGAGGGAGACTGATTATATTCCAGGTGAATGGAATTTCAGAACTCTGAAGTTCTAGAGGGATCGTTTTCATTACAGAGAATCCCTGTTTTGATCCCTGTGTGGGTCAGCCACGTCCGTGCCTGTGGTCAGTGGCCTTGGGTATCAGTGGAAATGGGTGCTGTTATTCTTGGCAAGTCACCTTATTTCTAGCTCATGACTTTCAGCTGTGAAACAGAACTGTAGGCAAGAATATATAAATCAAGAGTATAGAAAATGGTTTATGAACACCTTAGGAAAAAATGGGGTGATAATTCAAAGTGGTTCTCATTAATAATCAGGGTCCATTGTGTTGCATGCCGCCAAAGGGCACCTTTCTCGTGTTGGCTGTGAATGGTGTCCCCTGGGTTTTGCACCGAGTGATGAACTGGAGTGCTTGCTTTTCTATCCCCTGCTCACTGTCCATGGCCATGCCATCACTACTATTAAGTTAGATTTCTTTCTGACCACCCAGCACTTTGCATTGAAGGACTTGCACTCTTGCACTTGACTTCCTAGGATGTCAGAGCTAGAAATGCTTTAATGGGCGCCTGAGCCAGCTCCTTCTGTGCAGTGTTCGTCTCCTAAGCATTGCTGACATATGACTGTCCAGTCTTGGCTGGAGTACCTCTGCTGTGAGGTTTCTTAACTTCAGGTCAAAGCAGGGTTGTGTGTGACTTTCCCCTTTGGCAAATCACTTAACTTCCTGAGCCTTTGTGTTCCTTTCTGTGAAACAGGAATAATACTTACCAGATTGTTGTGATGAGTAGAAACAATGTGTTTTTAAAGTGCCAGACTGTGCCTGACAGCAACTGTTATTGTCATCATGATACTTGGTGCCTTTGGAGTTGACTCATTCTGTTGCAAGTGCATAATCAATAAACTGAAGTTTTGCAGATTCTTCTCTAGTAGAAAACTTTGATGAAGAGGGTTATAATTAAGTTCCTGTTATGGGTGCAGTTGTTTTTCAGTAGTCACACATACTAGAGATTTTGAGTTTAAATGGAAGTGTTGTTCTACCTGTATGAGAAATTCTAGCAACCAAGGGAAATTTTGTAACTCTAGTATATAGTTCACCTCCAAGTGACAATGTGTCGAGTTTCTAACCCTGGTCTCAGGGAAAGATGTAGTAGCATGAGCTCATCCATCAGCTCTGATGCCAGTTGCATTAGTGCAGTGTATCATTAGCGAACACTTGGCTTACCTCCGACCCGCCCAGCTGTTTGCTCACCCTTAAGGGACCGATATTTATCTCTCCATTTTACAGACCAGAAAATTGAGGTCTAGATTGATGAGCCAGCCTATAACTGTACTCTGAGTAAAGCCCAGGTGTCTAGACTTCACGACTGTCCTTTGGACCATGCTAGCTATAAATGATAAACAGACGCTTCCTACCTCCTGTACAATGGTGGGGCATCTTGGACAACAGCCAGGGATGGGTAAACTGGTCATTAGATTTCTTTTGGGATTATCAGGTGACTAGAGAAATAGAAATTGGCTTTAATGATTGGAATTTTAGTAGAAGCATTGACATATAAAAGATCATTCTTCAATGAACAGCCCTAGTCCTCTGTTTTTCTGATGAGCTTAGAGTTGTTTTTAGTCTTGGTCTCAGTTATTCTTTAGATCCTCCTGGATCAGAGAAAAACAAATCATCACAATATCCAAAGCTCCTCTTTAGTGATAAATTGGGGAAGTCCCCAAAATAGAGTGAGTTGCCCCAGTTCCCTAGCTTCTAGGCCATATCCCTACCTACTAGCCCAAATTCTGTGCTGGTGAATTGTCCTGGAAAATGATAGGGTTCTAGATCACATGTTGATAGCTTTTACCCAGTAGCAGTTGCTTATCTTGCTCAGAGACCTCCTTATTTGATAGTTTGGGGCAATGTTGTAGCAGGAAGGATTATCAACTCAGATGATGAGTTTAAGTGTATTCAGAAGCTATTGCTGTCTACCCAAACTGCCACCACAGCTCCATGTACTAGGAAAGAGGAAAGGCTTAGCATGGAAGTTCAGCATTTTTGCAAATCCTAAATATTTGAGGAATATAACCCACTTGTCATGGTTAGTTACTATGTTGGCTCATTGTGGAAAGGGGGTGCTCACTTGATTGCCAACAGGCGGGAGGTGGGGGTGATTGGTGAAACGTTATAATGCAGAGGGCAGACAGACATAGTCTGGGAAAGCCCCTCCAGGTAATCCTACCCTCATCCCTCAAGGAATCACTGGCAGAAAGGACGTAGAAGGGAATCTTGGAGAAGACAATTATATGAGGAGACAGAAGAGAAGTCCTTCTGGGGAATCTAGATAGTTTGTCCTCACGATCATCTTGGGACTTGAGGAAAACCTGATAGTTTGAAGCAGAAATTAGCTGATATTCCTGGTTCCCTGAAATTCTTATCAGATCAAAGCCAGTGAGATTTTCCTGTCTGACCTGATTGAATTCTTGGTTTTGTGCACATTAAGGGAGTCCAGTCATTCAGCAAGCATTTATTGAATACTCTTAATAATCTGTGTTTGGCGCTTAGGCCATAAAGATGAGTAAAACAGAGCGTCTGCTCTCGGGGTGTCAGTGCTGTCGGGCTAGGAGAGTCAGCTAGGTTGGCTTCTGTGGAAGTGGAGGGAGGTATTTAGCAATGCCTCTTGATGGGAAACCTTCTAACTGCTGCCCTCACTTGGCCCAGGTGCCGGATGTGCTCACTGACATTCTACTCAAAGTCGGAGATGCAGATCCACTCCAAGTCACACACCGAGACCAAGCCCCACAAGTGCCCACATTGTTCCAAGACCTTCGCCAACAGCTCCTACCTGGCCCAGCACATCCGTATCCACTCAGGGGCCAAGCCCTACAGTTGTAACTTCTGTGAGAAATCCTTCCGCCAGCTCTCTCACCTCCAGCAGCACACCCGGTAAGGCTGCTCTCAGTTTCACCCCACTTCCTGGCTGTGAACCCCTCACCCCAAGGCCACATGGTCTGTGCCTACTCTTCTCTCCATGTTTCTTTTTCCCCTTTCGACCTTGCCGTCTGGGAGCCTCGATTCTTTCCCATTACTGTCTATGAAAAATAAAACCATATCTCCTAGCAGTTTGGGGGAGCCTGGAAAATGGTGGTCTCCAATCCCAAAGTCTGGAGCGGTTTCTGTGGCTTCTCTCTGTGTCTGTGTTTGGAAATCTTCTGCAGAGCAGCCCCTGCTTTTACTCTCTGCTTCAGTTCAGAGCCAAGGTGTGCATTCAACTTCAGGTCCATGGGGACAGGCGGTATTGTCTTTGTTCAAATTTCTATTTGGAAGCAGGGTATCTGTGGTGAGTGTGTATGTAACCTTAGAACAAAGCAGAGGGTTGACAAGACTGGACACGTGAGGTTACCAGGAGCCATGGGTTGCAGCTCTTCATCATCTCACTGCCATTCTAGCCGCCGACTTAAGATCAGCAACAACCTAGATCTGGGTGTCCTCTTCATTAGCCTCTCCAGGCCGGAGTGTGTTTGGGAGGAGGGAGGAGGGGGTGCTCTCATCCGTCAAGCAACATCATTTCACCCAGCAGAGAGCTGAGCCCCTGGTGTCGAACTGCTTCCTCCTCCCCCCCTTCCCTCCTCTCCTCTCCGGCAGGATCCACTCCAAGATGCACACCGAGACCATCAAGCCCCACAAGTGCCCGCACTGCTCCAAGACCTTCGCCAACACCTCCTACCTGGCCCAGCACCTCCGTATCCACTCGGGGGCCAAGCCCTACAACTGTTCCTACTGCCAGAAGGCCTTCCGCCAGCTCTCCCACCTCCAGCAGCACACACGGTAAGGGAGAGTGGCGGGCTACTGCCCCCGCCCCGCTGGCATGCCCTCCCCACCCCCGCCCCGGACACACACAACAACCCGCATGCGGGGGGCGGGGGAGAGGCCTGACTGGAGGAGAGAGAACGACTGGCATCTGGGAGAAGGAACAAGCGACAACACTGGAAACACAAGTGGATCTCAGAGAGTCTGGCTGGGGCAAAAGCTACACCGGGGAGACGCAGTGACTGTGACATTCCCTCATTTGTGGAGAAGAGAGACATCTGGGGCAGAGACGATTTTTTTCCTTCATTTCTTTCCCTGAAATCATCCATGCACACATCATGCAAGATTTTCTCCTTGATGCCAAAGCAGGGGCATTGGATTAGAGAAGACGATTGGAGAAGACCCCACCTCCAGCCCCGGAGGCACTGATTGTGAATGGCGGACATGCTCAGAGACTGGCTGGGCACCAGCCTGGGGACACCTAATTAGAGAGCAAGGCTTCACGGGATGCATGGAGTAGCAAACGAAACAAAGCACATGTGAAATAGAGAGAACTGGCACATTGGAAAGAAGGAGGCCTGCTGTTGGCCCGTGAACCTGGAGTGGCCAAGAGGAAATGAAGCTGCCAGCGGGGAGAGTTGGTGATCACCTTCAATGACATCTCAGGTTGAGCTGGAATGTGCACTCTCACCAGCCAGAGTTCTCGTCACCCGGCTGCTTCAGGATGTGGCAGTCCCTGAGAGTTGGGCTTTGTTCACAGGAGGAGATGGGATGTGTCGCGCCATGTTTGCAAGGTTTTACAACAGAGGTCAAGTAAAGCACCCGGTCACAAAGATGGTCTCAAGTCCCTGAGGAGGAGTGGGTGTCCACATGTTCTCAAGTCCTTGACTCGTCTCAGCACAGGGGCCTATAGTGTTTGAAAAGAGGTCAAATTGGCACTAAATTAGGCATTTCCTGCCATTCGGGGGCTGGACTGGGAAAAGCCCCAAGGAGGTTCCACGAATGTTGGTAGCACTGCTACTCTCTGTAATTTAGTGTGACTCTGCTTTGCTTTGATACCAGAACTTTTCTTTGGGAGTGGTTCTCAAAGCTGAGGGGCTAGTTTCTGACTGTAGCGTGGGGGCCAAGGAAGAAGTGTTTTGTGTTTTTTTCCTTGTCTTTGTGTTTTCCTTATGTTTCTGAACATTTATTAGGGACAGTTACTGTAGGAGCTGACTTGTGTGGTAAACTGTGGACTGCCTGTCCCTTCGCTGCTGGACCACAGTCCCTCTTCCCCCAGCAGAGAGGAGCCCCGCGTGGCAGGCAGTGAGCAGAAGGCAGGCATCACGGCCTAAGCCGGGTCAGAGCTCAGGCTGGTGCCTCCTGGAGACCCATCTCATAGGAGGACAGGAATGACCTTGAGGTTTGCTGAGGAGTCAGTCCCTGAGTGGCCTGGCTGACATTCTCCCTTTCTTTTCTCATCCCATGCAGAATCCACACCGGAGATAGACCATACAAATGCGCACACCCAGGCTGTGAGAAAGCCTTCACACAGCTCTCCAATCTGCAGGTAAAGTTTACCCTCCGCCCGAGGCCTAGAATCTAAGACTTGGGGTCACAGTGCCAACTAACAAGTAGTACAATCATTCTCAAACTTTTTCAAGACCTCTTTACACTCTTAACAATTATTGGGGAGTCCAGTGGGCTTGTGTTGATGGGGGTCATATCTGGAAAAAAAACAAAAACATATGTGGTAGTGGTAAAAATAAGTAAAACCAGCAGAACCCTTGCATGCTAATATAAATCACATATTTTCAAATACCTTGGCCCCCATGTTGAGAAGAATGTTTTTACATTGCTGCACGTTTCATCAGTGTCTGGCTTTCAGAAAATGGCTGTATCGTCATGTCCTCTGCCTTCAGTCTACTGTGACAGTACACGTCTTGTAATCTCTGTACACATGAGAGACTGAGAATGAAAAGGCAAACTGTCTAATTATGATTCTGAAAATAGTTTTGACCTGTGGGCCCCCTGAAAAGGTCTTGGTGTTCCGTGGCGAATCCCCATGCCTCACTTTGAGAACCACGGGCCTAGTAGGACCAGGCATGGTCGTCATTCTCACTTTCAGGATCCTGGTATGTGCTGCATGAGGTTTGCTTCTTCCCTTAACCAGTAGCTCCTGAAGTTTCATTTGAAGCAATGGCTGCCACCTTTAGATGGAAAGAGATCTTGGGGGGCCTGACACCCAGTTCAGTGATTTCCACTAAGGTCAAAGAAGGAGGAGAGAAGAGTTCAGTGCGCTCCTGATTTCTCCCAATATTCTCAGTCCCACAGACGGCAGCACAACAAAGATAAACCCTTCAAGTGCCACAACTGTCATCGGGCGTACACAGACGCAGCCTCACTGGAAGTGCACTTGTCTACGCATACGGTGAAGCATGCCAAGGTGTACACCTGCACCATCTGTAGTCGGGCATACACGTCGGTGAGTGCAAGCCTACCCGTTCCTTCCCTGTGTCTAGGCCTGTAAGCTCCCCTATCTTTCTGAATATAGATCTGTGTAGTGAATGTACCACCTTCCTAGCTCCAACTTACCAGAATCAGTAAAGAGAAGAGACATTAGATAGGAACTTGGGAGTTGCCTGATCCCTTAGACCAATAGGACTGCTGAACTGTGATGCTTCGTTTTATTTAAACATAAGACAGAATGGAAGCAGCTTGAAATTTTGTGTGTGTGTGTGTGTGTGTGTGTGTGTGTGTGTGTGTGTGTCGGGGCGGGGAGGAGGGGTTCAGCTAGATGTTAGACTCCAGAAAAGGGTTATAAAATTCAATTCAAAGGTGTGTGAGAATGTGACAGTTTAAGGTGACTTGACTCTTATCAGTGCTCCACAGTATCTCTATATCAGTATTACTTTATTTAAAGCAAAAAAAAAAAAAAGCCCAGGATACTGGTTACAAGTAACTTACTTCTTTGCTTCTCTTTCTTCCCTCAACTCCCTTTTTACCTTCTCCATCAGGAAACATATCTTATGAAACATATGCGCAAACACAACCCTCCTGATCTCCAGCAACAAGTGCAGGCAGCGGCAGCAGCAGCAGCAGTGGCTCAAGCTCAAGCCCAGGCCCAGGCCCAGGCCCAAGCCCAGGCCCAGGCCCAGGCCTCTCAGGCATCACAGCAACAGCAGCAGCAGCAGCCGCCACAGCCACCGCACTTCCAGTCCCCTGGGGCAGCACCCCAGGGTGGTGGTGGTGGGGACAGCAACCCCAACCCTCCACCCCAGTGTTCCTTTGACCTGACCCCCTACAAGACGGCGGAGCATCATAAGGACATCTGCCTCACTGTCACCACCAGCACCATCCAGGTGGAGCATCTGGCCAGCTCATAGAGACCTGTGCTGCAACCCACTGGGAAGAGAGGAAAGAAGTTCTGGTCCTTTCTCTCCAACTTCTCTTGGTGGGAAAAGTCCTCTTCTTCCTTGACAGGCCTTGGCTCCATCTCCTTGGGCCTCAGGCACAGCCTTCCTTCACAGGATATCATCCTTATTCTCAACTCCTCTTCACAAGGAATATCAGCCCTCCTGATTGGCAAAGGTTACTGAGCTGGTAGTGTAATCCAGCAGCTTCCCTCCCAAGCATAGCTTTTAAAAATTGGGGGTTGGTGCTCAAGGGAGGGAGTTGCTATGACCTCATAGAAATTTTTCCAGTGTGGGCACTTACCCTCTCCTTACCCTCATAATCCTCAGAGTTCAGGCTGATAGATGACTAGAGGCTGGCCTTCCCAGATATGAGAGAGAAGGGAGCCCTGTATGCAACCAGCCTTCTGTTCTATTCTTGCCTGTGAAAGAACAGAGAGGTATCTCACGTACCCCAGCCCCTGGGAGCCGTTTTCTTCCCCTCCGTGGTCTCACTTCATTTCCTACTTAATGCTGGAAGGAGGAGATCTGGGTGGGTGTCAGACCCCCTTTATTTGTAAGGGGGCAAGGGCTGAGATGTGGTCCCCAAGGGGCCGGAGATCCCCAAGATGGTCAGGGGTGGCTTAGAAGTGTGGGTTATGGTTTTTCCCTTCTCTGACAACCAAGGCCCTATCTTCTCAGTCTCCCCATCCTAAAACCTAAGGAGCTGTGGGAGCTTTGTGTTCTTTATAAAACCCCAGAATGAGGGGTATCGCAGAGAAGGGGGAGTGCAGGGCAAACACGAGGACTGGACTAGCTCCCTAGGTGCCACGGTCAGTTGCCGGACATGGATTTATATATAAATATATATATATAAATATATATATACCCACTCATCACGGCCATCTTTGTTGTAACCATTTCTGTGTTTATAAATGCATTATCTCTGAGAATTTTCATATTTGACGTTTTGTTTATTTTTGTTCTTTTTTTCCTCCACCCTGTCTTCTGGCCAATGGCTTTTTTAGTTCCTTTTTTTTTTTTTTTTTTTTAAACCATGGCAGATTTCAGAGAAAAGAGAAAATGAAAAAAAATCAGGAAACCGGTTGTTATAAAGCAATTTAAAATGAAGAAAAAAAAAAACTTATGTACAAACCAAGGGGTGTTTTTAGAACCTTGTATAGAAATAAATTCGTGTAAAAGGATCAGAGGCAATGGAGCTACTGATGTGAGCATGGGAAAAAGCTGTTTGGAGGGAAGTTCAGGATTGCGTGTGTGTAGAATGAATGTTGTGTGGTAATAAGGCTCCACGTGTGTATCAACCTAGAAAGGTATATATAGCTTGGTATTTCTAAAATGAAATTTTTGTTAAATGAGGGTTTCTACATACAAATCCTGTCCTGGGGACTGCGTTGTCTAAATAAGTAAGCAGAATGCTAGTCATGTTAACAAAACAGCTAAACTCCCTAAGAGATGGTTGTACGTTTTTGGAAGTTTCTGTACTGCCTGAGCATCAGTGGGCTCAGTGCTAATTCCAGATCTTGGTGTATGTTCATTATCTTGCGCACCTAAAAACCAGACATTTCCAGTAATGGAAATCTTAACTAGGATTGAATAATGATGCAGGATAATTAATGGTTGAGTTGTAGAACATGGACAGGAAACACGATCTTCAGCTCTAAGTCTGCCATCAACTGGGTGACCAAGATGCTGCTTCAGCTGTTAAATGAAGGAATTTGACTAGATCACCTCCAAGATTACTTTTTTAAAAATAACCTTTACCGAAAAGGGGTGACAAAGCACCCACATCTCACAACAGGGCTATTTTCTATGGGACTGCTGGGTAACTTCATTACCCAGTGGAGTGTGAATAGTCAAATATGCTTATGTTAGGGCTGGGGCTCACATGTCCATCCAAAATAGTGTCTCAGTCTGTTGTGACACTTGAATGTATCACAGGACCAAATGTGCCAATATTTGTTAGCTTTTTGAATATTCTCTGCTCTTTTGCCCTCCCCTCTAAGAGGTGAAAGGTCCTTATAGCCCTGCCTTCACAGATATTAGAAATAGAATCTAAGGAAAGAGTTACTGCAACAACCTTTAAATACTGTTACTCATTTTATGGCAGAATAGGCACTGATTAAATTACTCATCATTTATAGGGTGAAGTCATCTAGATTCTTTTGCTGTATTTTACCACCTGTTCAGTAGTAAATGGGGTTTCACTTTACCCTTCAACTCTGGTCTAAATTATGTGGCTAAAGATTTTAATTAAAAACCTGCCATGTGACACTGGTAATTGTCTAGAACTTGTGACTTAGGGGCGCTAACTGAGACACTATTTTACTTACACTACTATTAGGTTATGGGTTTTGAATTCTGTTTCCCTAGTGTGATACCACTCTGTAATATGCTTGATTGCTTTACATCCTGATGAAAAGCCTAGTGTTCATTGTACCCTAGGTGACTAGGGTGATAACTGGCATCTAATTGGCCCAGTCACAACTTGGAAACAGAACTCCAAGTCCCAATTCTTTCAGACTCGTGGTACTAATTAGCAGCACATGTACACTCGAATTAGAAGGGAGGCAAAAACAAGATATGACTGGAAGTACTGTATGTCATGTGAGAATATATGCAAATGTAAAAGGAACCATGAAAAATGTGGAGAACTACGGCTTTGTGATTCTTTATAAGTATAATTCATATATAAATAACAAAAATTTTCCACGTTAAAAATAACCTCGGGGAGATGATGTTTGTGTGAGTGGACAGAAATGTGAAGGTTTAAAATCAACCAGATACTCCTCCTAAACTTCTTTAAGACACCACCCTGGGGAAAGTCTTGATTCAGCCGGGACTTGCTCTGGTCACCAGATTCATATTTTGCAAAAGGGAAAAGAGATATTTATGAAATAACAGATCTAAAGTGAAAAGTTTTCTTTGCTTCATTACTTCACGGACCCGTTTTGGAGGGAAAAAAAAGTTTGCTTGAGAGGCAAAATGGCGACCTCGAGTGACGTCATGCCTGCCTCGGTCGCGTACTGTGGTTTCAGTAAGGGCGGAAGTGGCTAACGGTGCCTCCTTACGGGCGCTTCTGGCTCCCTTCGCAAAAGGAAAGGTTTCAACGTTGGGCGGATGTGTCCCTGCGGATACTTAAGTAAGGGCGGAAGTTCTCTTTGTAAGGGCGGAAAGGCTCTAACCCTAGTATAATAACTTCAGCCCCTGCAGCTTTCAGTCACTTCCGGGGGCGGATCGGAAGTTGCTTTGTTTTGCTTCAAGATGGCCGCGGGGATGTATTTGGAACATTATCTGGACAGTAAGAGCAGGCTGGAGGAGGGGGTCAGGGGTCATAGTGTGGTGGCGGGGGGATCGGGGCTGAGAAGATCTGTGGCCCCGAAGTCCCGGTGGTTAGAAGGTCACAATTGTAAGGTGGTTCTGTGAAAAAAAAATTGGAGGGTGAGAAGAAAGAGGGGGCGGGGCAGCAGGGTCGAGGCCTCGCTTTGGGATGTAGACGAGGGAGGGGCTGAGTGGTGGGACCGAGGGGTGTCTGTTGAAGGGCTGATGGGCATAGCCGGGAAGATATTTGCTGCTCCCATCTTCAAGGTCTCCAGCCTCAGGATTTTCCCACCCTCTCCCCAGATCGTTCAGAATCGGTCCTTTTAGTATATCACTCACTGCTATTTGGAGCAGTGACAAAGACATACTCGCGGCTCCTCCTCAGTTCTCAGAAGCCGCTTCTCCTGGGGAAAGGGGCTTATGAGTGATCGCTGACAAATGAACTGGAACACTTCTCGGAGTAAAGATCCAATTTCCCATCAAGTGGAAATCTGGTGTTTTGCTCGTGCCATTTGTGTAACTCACCCCCTCACAAAACCCCTTATTTGTCTCAGTGTTGCCAGTCATTCGTTCATTCACTTTTTAAATTTGAGGTTCCTGCTGTGGGTCAGACACAAGGGCAGGTACTGAGGATGTACAAAAATTACTAAGACACAGCCTCTGCCCTCTGCCCTCAAGTGCTTTTGGGCTAGAAGGAAGCAAATTCTGCTAATAATTTTTAAGCAGTGTGACAAATGAAATAATGGAAATACATTAAAAGAACAGTGGGTTACACCAGAGAAAGGGGATGCTTACCAGGGGATGTAGGTAAAGTTTTACAGAGGATGTGAAGTGTGAACAGAGTCTTGGAGGTTGTGTTTTAGTTATTGGTGTGGAGAGAGAAAGGAAGCTGCAGTTTGGGGGAAGTATCAGCAAAGGTAGCACCATGTCAAAATCAAGAAAAAGTGAGATCAGAGTGTTTGATAAATGGGACTTCTCGAGGTGGGGAGAATGGGACCTGAGACTAGAGAAAGAGACAGAGGCTAGATTGTGCAAGAGGTTTTCACTTCTTTTTTTTTAAGCCAAGAAGAGTTTTTACTTTCAGAAGTGAGGAACCAGCAGATTTTTAAATAGTACAGTAAATTGAGCATGAGAACAGGGAAAATAGGGAGATTGGTGACAGTAGTTCAGAGGAGAGATAAGGGACTAATGTGTGGGAGAGACAGTATTTAGGAATCAAATGACAGGATTGACTGAATGACCTCGCAATTGAAAGAAGATGAATCTAAGGTGACTTTTTTGACTTCCTAGTTGGCAAGTGAGGTTGATAGTCTATCGTCAATAAGATGGGAATATCAGGTAGCCATATATTTGATTCAATTTAGACTTAAATGTAGGAATGGTCCTTGTATCCATGAGTGTATGAGGTCATTCAGGAAAAATAAGAAAATGAGAGGATTAAAGTGTAATCTCAAGAAAACATTAACATTTAAGGGACAGGCTAGGAAAACCTCAATGTTGGAGTTACCAGGAAGTATATGAGGAGATTTGGAATCCTAAGAGGAAGAAAGTTACTGGAAAGAGAGAAGATGGTGCCAGCTGCTGCAGACATATTTTGTAGGATAGAACTAATAACAGATCATTTCACTAGGTAAGTCATTGGTGACTTAATCTCAGTAAACTGGTGGTTTATAGGTTAAAGGAGCGAGGGCATGTAAAAAGTTTGGAGGACCCTCTGTATAGAAGTCATAGTTCTAAAAACAAGGGGAATAGGAGAGAAGACAAATGTCCAGCCCTCCTGGAGGGCTGGTGAGGCAGATACCAAATAACTAATCACACATTTATGTATTTAATGACAGTGGATAAGTGTCAAAAGGGTAGAGTAGAATCATGTGACATGATTCAGGAATCTGGGGAAGTCAGGGTTAAACTGAACTTGGAAGAATGAACAAGAATTTATCAGCCAGGAGGTATAGTGGAGGTGGGATGAGGAAGAGTGCATTCCAGACAGAGCAGCTTGTGGAAAAGCAAGGGGCAGGAAGAACACTGGCAGATTTGAGACACTCAGAGAAGGCCAGTGTGATCAGAGTAGAGAGCACAAGAGGGCCTGGGTATGAGGCAAGCAAGGGCTAGAAAATGCAGGATTGGACTAGGAATCATGATAAGTTACTAGAGGCTTATAAGCAGAATGACTTGATCAGATTTGCATGTTTTAAAGCACCTCTGGCTTCTAGTTGGCAGTGTGTGTGTGATGAGCAGTGGAGGATACCTGGAATGTATTTGCAAGTTGAGGACAAAGAACATGGAGATAGAGATTGAATGGGAAGGGAGAGGGTGGGAAAACCATGCAAAGATGGAGAAGTTGGTTATGGAGAGAGGCAGATGAATGAGTGGTGAATACTGACACAGATAAAGCCAACAGGTTGAAGGAGGACCCAGATTTGCAAATTAGCTAGTAGTCCTATGAGCTGCAGTGATTCTCAGTTTCCCCTCTTCTCCCTAGGCATTGAAAACCTCCCCTTTGAACTGCAGAGAAACTTCCAGCTCATGAGGGACCTGGACCAAAGAACGGAGGGTATGTAGCAAGTAGAGTGGACGTGTGTAATGAGCGCGCGTGATTCTTTTTCTCTTTGGTGTTACCGTATCAGCTCATCTGCTCTGGAGAACTGTGGCTTCTCGCTCTCTCTTGCAATTCTCTCTTAAAAGGAGAGTAATGATGATCCGAATTTCTATCTCAGCCTTTCCATAAGAAATGAAATGTTGTGAGCATGCCTCATGAATTCAAAGATGCTTTGTTTCTTATATCTTCCTCAAGAAGAATTCAAACAGCCAAAGTCAACTTTTAGATCATTTCTGTTCTCCGTATGCAACGTATTTATAGGAAGACTAGGCTGTCTCTTTTCCACTGTAACTCTTGGTTACCCTCACAAAATTCCATATGACTTTAGACTGCAACTCACGGTGATAGACAGGAGCTTGGCTGTGTGAGGCGTTCTTAAAAAGAAAGAAAGAAGAAGGAAAAGCAGCAATTAACATCAGGATCTCTGCACTATCCTTCAGCCCTGCAGAAGCACTAGATACCATCTGTGGCCTTAGACGTTGAGCATGTTGGGCTGCTCGGAGGCGTTCACTTGGAGCCTGAGGCTACACTACAGTGGTCAGGTTGGTCTCTTCAAGGTCAAAGATGTCTGTGGGAACTACCCCCATACCTGCTGAAGGATATATAGGTCTGTTCTTCCATCCTTAGGTAGCCATGCTTGAGGAGATAGCAAGCTGGTGTTAGAATACCTAAAGCTGTTATTTAAACTCTTCTGGGTAAGTTGACTCATGAAAAGGTGATCATCTCCAACCCTGGACATAGATGAATGCTTTCCTTGTAATAGAGTTCCAGCTCTTAAGTTGATGCACAGAAAGAGCAGTTGGCGATTATCGAACTATATACGCTTTTCAGCTTCCTCAAGGGTCTCAAATGATGTGCGACATAAACACAGCATATGCGCAGATCCTCCCTGTCACCTGGTGCTGCACTCTGCAACGGTCGTCCTTGTGTCTCTTTCCATCAACATTATTTTATGAACCCTGCCAAATATGAGGCAGCACACGTCTACAGACTGAGTGTCTTCGGACATCACCAGAGTTTGGAGCAGTAGCTAAGATGAACAAATGGAAGACAAAGTGATGAGAAATATAAGCAAGTTGCAACTGATGAGCAAAATAGGGTGGACAATAAGTAGAACTATTATGTAAATGAAGTAGGCCCTCATTGTAAATGATGAGATACAGGTGTACAGACCTGGATGCCAGCCCCAGATAACCCAGCCTGCCTTGTAGTGCTCAGAGCTACTCGGGGATGTTTTTGAGAAGCTAAGTGACTTTCAAGACGAAATTCATGATTCAAGAAATGGCGAGCTCTGCCAAGAAACGTCGGACATCGACAAGTATACTTCATCTTAGTGCAGTATGCAAAGGACTCTTCATTATGTTTTAGTAATTTAAGTTCAACTGTGATAGCAATGCTGTCAGCATCTGAAGGCGCCTTTAAAGCAGATATTGTCAGTGTGTTGCATTACTTGAGTACATGGCACAGTACCTGTGAACGTTTGGTACATTTTAATTTGAAGGTTATGATGGTCATGGAAAAGGTCCGAGGAACAAGAGGAAGAAATGTGTTTCACCTAGCCACCCAGGGGCCATTGTGACCAGGCCTCTGTCTCTGTTGTAGACCTGAAGGCTGAAATTGACAAGTTGGCCACTGAGTATATGAGTAGCGCCCGCAGCCTGAGCTCCGAGGAAAAATTGGCCCTTCTCAAACAGATCCAGGAAGCCTATGGCAAGTGCAAGGAATTTGGTGACGACAAGGTGCAGCTTGCCATGCAGACCTATGAGATGGTATGGCCCTGTTCATGGCTCCCCACCTACCTCCCATCTAATCCTCGGGGTCCTGGACCCCTCCTTCGGCTGTGTCGGGGTCTGTTTTGGGTCTGGGAGATCCATAGACTCTGCCTTAACCTGTTTACTTTTGCTGGGACCCGCCTTATACCTCTCCTTTCTCTTTCCTTCCCACCCAGGTGGACAAACACATTCGGCGACTAGACACAGACCTGGCCCGTTTTGAGGCTGATTTGAAGGAGAAACAGATTGAGTCAAGTGACTATGACAGCTCTTCCAGCAAAGGCAAAAAGAGTGAGGAGGGGGGTGGGGCTGGGACAAGGAGCCAGAGGGAGAAGCCGCCAGCACGTCAGCTATGATGGGGGAGAACTGGGTTGGAAGGAGTGGGGACGAGGAGGACTTAACCCATCTTTCTGTGTCCCTGCCTCTTGGCTTTCCCCCTTTTTCCTAGAAGGTCGGACTCAGAAGGAGAAGAAAGCTGCCCGTGCGCGTTCCAAAGGGAAAAACTCAGACGAAGAAGCCCCCAAGGCCGCCCAGAAGAAGTTAAAGCTTGTGCGCTCGTGAGTGAAACTGGGGGCACCCCGCCAAATGACACGCTGCCCTCTCCCATCCCGCTGCCCTCCCGCCCTGCGTTGCCCTTGCCACTTTGCTGTCTGTCTCAGTAACTCGGTGCCTCACCATTCTGGTATCTGCTGGGTAAAGGGGAGAAAGCACAAGTGACCTGCCCCAACATCACTCAGGGTCTCCTCCTGTCACCTCTGAGAGTCAAGTGGCAGCTTCCCTTCCTGCACATGACACTTTCTCTTCCTCTCGGCACGCAGAAGTCCTGAGTACGGGATGCCCTCAGTGACCTTTGGCAGTGTCCACCCCTCTGATGTGTTGGATATGCCTGTGGACCCCAACGAACCCACTTATTGCCTTTGTCACCAGGTCTCCTATGGAGAGATGATTGGCTGTGACAACCCTGATGTGAGGACCATTTTGCCTTAGGATGGGGGCGGTGTTTCTGGGGACTTGAAGGATGCAGTTACAAGAGGGGAAGAAATGATTGACGAGTGGAACTTCGTGATATAAGTTGGTTGGCCTTGGGACCCCCAAGAATTCCCCAGAGGGACAGAATAAGGAAATGCTCCTGAGGAATCTCTGGGGCGTGCTCTTTCCTTTCCTCTGCCCCTGACTGCTACTTCTTCCTTTACCAGTGTTCCATTGAGTGGTTCCATTTTGCCTGTGTGGGGCTGACAACCAAGCCTCGGGGGAAATGGTGAGTGAGAGGACTGTGGTAGGAGGGGGAAGGCCCTGAAGCTGAGAGGTGGACAGCTTCTTCCCTTTCACTCACACTCTCCCTTCCCATCTCTCTTACGTTCCTTTTTAGGTTTTGCCCACGCTGCTCTCAAGAACGGAAGAAGAAATAGATAAAGGCCTTGGATTCCAACACAGTTCCTTCCGCATCCCCTGACCTGGGCTCGTGGGGAGAGGAAAGCCTGTGCTGAGGCCATGGGGGTTCAGGGAGAAGTGGATGGCGTAGTGTGGTCCTCCCTTCTCCCCCATCCCCACTCCTGGTGCTGAGGCTGCATCCAAACCCTGGTGGGTGGGGGGTGCTGCAGCCACTAACGGTATGTGCTGTCATTCAGCCCACCCCTTCAGAGGGAAGGGGTCTTGCCCACTGTCCTTTTGCCTCCATGCTGAGGTTGGTGCTGTATTTTCGAGAGATGATCCTCCTTACTCCCCTTGCTTTGTATTTAAGGACTGGGGCAGTGTCGTGGGGACACTCCCCCGGCCCTCCTAACCCCCCGCCCCCACCCCCGTGGGGGACTATGGTGTGATAAACTTTTCATTCTCTTCTTGCTTTTTCCATGGTGGGGGCTCCCCCAGATCACCTGGGCTTTGACCTGAGTTGAAGGGGCATCCCCTCCTCTGTGCCAAATGGATTCATCCTGGCCTTGCGAATGGGAGTGGGGGTGAGGTGAAATGCAGATAACTCACATGTAAAAGCGTTGGGGTAGGTGAATAAAGTATGTGTTGGCTGCCTGTGTTTGTTGTAGAGACACCATTTTAATACACATGCTAAGCATCCTTTGCATCCTCCGGGTGAGATAAGAGGTTGGAGGATGACACGCCGATCGTAGGATAAGTGTGGAACCAGGAGTGGTACCTCAGTGCTAAATCTGCAACTTCTCACCTCTGGGAGATCTAAGCTGCTGGGGGATGCCTCGGCCCAGGGGGTTCCAAAACCTTACAAATCTTGCATCTTTTCTCCATCTTTCCCTTCATTTCCAATAAATGTGTATTCGTGTTTCATACATATCCTATACTAAATATTAGCTTGGCTCCTTATTCTAAACAAAAGCAAGTATTTTTCCCCCTATGTCAGTGGGTTTTCCTGCTCATCTCCACTTGGAAGCCATGTCCTTAGACTGAGCCCTTTTTACACCTGTGTTCCTCCTTGCCTGCACCCCGCGGGTGTTTCCCGCCTTGGCTCATCTCTTCTCTGGAGCTTTCCTCTCTACCTCCTACCCAAAGAGCCCATCACTTTGTTTTGTCCGCCCCACGTCTGCCTGCTCCAGACCCCGCCTGTAGGCGCGTGTGGTCCTCACCAGCTTTTGAGCAAGCGTTTCTCTAAGCTCCAGTTGGTCGGCTGTGAAATAGGGATAAAATGGTCATCACCTTATGGGATGACCTTGGCAATACGACAAAGTGACACATAAAGAGCCACATGGCACGTGTGCCATTGTAGGTTCAAGTCCGGGTAGCTTTTGCCATTATCTTCTGGAGCTAGAATAAGACCCCGGAGACCCTAGCGAGGCAGTTTCCGAGGCCCCGCCCTTGGGGCCCCCGAGGCCCGCCCCCCGGCCCTTTGTGACGTCGGGGCGGCACCCTAGTACTCGCGCCTGCCTGCGGGCTCTCTCCGGCTTGGCCCGTTAGAAGCAGCTTCGGTCCGGAGGACGCGGGCGGGTGGTCTGGGGCCATGAGAAAGCTCGCTGCTGGCGTCCCGCTGCCTCTGCTGATGGGTGAGGGGTGCCTGAGTGCGCTTCCCCGCGCAAGCCGCCACCTGCAGAGAGCCCCTCCCTCGCGCTCTCTGAACCGCTTTCCTCTGCTGGTCGCGTTGAGTGTGCTCCCCAACTTCTGAGCTCCCCCATCTCAGTCCCCGGGGGTCGGACCTTTGCCCCTGCCCCTGGAACCTTTCAGCCCTATTAGCAGGGGGGGCCCGTCGGGTGCCCGTCATTCCTAGGTGACACGGAGCCCCACTTGCTGGGTCTGACTTGAGCCCCGGGAGGGTTTTGGAGTTGGGGTCCATCCATCGCTGTGTTCCCCCGGCCCGCAGTTCTGCTCCGGCTTCCGGCATCCGCCCCAGCCCAGGATTCGATTTTGACCTCCACGCCGGGCAGCCCCCTCTCTCCCACCGAGTATGAACGCTTCTTCGCGCTGCTGACCCCAACCTGGAAGGCAGAGACGACCTGCCGTCTCCGTGCCACGCACGGCTGCCGGAACCCCACGCTGGTCCAGCTGGACCAATACGAAAACCACGGCCTGGTGCCCGACGGTGAGGGCCGGCTGGGGGGCAGCCGCGCGTGCCCTGGAGACTGGGTGCGGGGAGAGTTGACGCCGTTCCCTAGCCCCAATCTCCACCCTTCCCTTTCTCAGGCGCTGTCTGCTCTGACCTTCCTTATGCCTCCTGGTTTGAGTCCTTCTGCCAGTTTACTCAATATCGTTGCTCCAACCACGTCTACTATGCCAAGGTGAGGCCCAGGACAAAGGTTGGGTCTGGAGTCCCAGGGCCCGCAGAGGTGGTGGCTGTGCCGAGCTGGTGGGGACGCACCAGCAAGGGCCGTCTTTGGGTTCCCCCCCTCTGCAGGGGGGGAATCATTTACCCAGATTGTCAATCATTTACCCAGATTATATATGAACACAGCCTCGCCTTGGGCATTCAGACTGTCAGAACAACCCCATTACTCCCAGAAAAATCCAGGGGAGGGATAGGAAGCAGCAAATAGATAAGCCCTTCCATAAGCCAGTGACTTCACTCAAGTCCAGTGCAAAAGAGGGAAGTCAGGGGCGTGACCCAAACAAAGGAAGTTTTTTCTGGCAGGGGAAACCCTTCCTCAGGTCTAGCGCGGCACCAGGGACCTCCACCCTTCATCCCTGCCCAGAACTCGGAGAGAAAACGTGCCAGAGGGGGCCTGAGGGGTGAGCTGGCAGGGGGAGCAGTCCACGCTTTGGAAAGGCATTGCCTCTTCCCTTCTCTTGCAGAGAGTCCGGTGCTCCCAGCCTGTCTCAATTCTCTCACCTAACACTCTCAAGGAGCTGGACACTTCTGTTGATGCCCAGCCCACCACATTGACCTCCCCTGCCTCCTCCCACGCCACAGGTGAGACCCTCCCGGTACCTGCGGCACCACCAGCACCAATTTCCGCGATTCCAGAGCCCAGGATTTAGGGCAGCAGTGGTAGGGAAGGGGGAACAATGGTGAGCGGGGAGGAGGGATGCCCGTGGGTAGCTGCAGGAAGTCCTCACTTAGGTCGTGGATAGGCTCTTGGAAGCTGCAACTTTGAGCCAAGACGACCTATAATGAAACCAAATTGACCATAGAGCAACTGATAAAAAACAAGAGCTAAGTTCCTCCGGCATGTTTATGGTCACAGAATCATCACCAAACTTCTCAATAAAGACCCCAAACACATGTGCTATGGAACAATTATTTGTGCTCATTCATTCCCCACCCCGCTGTTTCCAGTTCAGGGTCACCAGGGGCTGGAGCCCGTCCCTGCGGCTGGGGCCACAAGGCTGAACCCAGTCTCTCAGGGCACGTACATGCACACCCACACTCACTCAGACCCCAGCAACCCAGATGTGAGCGTGCACGTCTTTGGGATGTGGGAGGAAAATAGTTTACCACACACAACATGGGGGAGCATGCAGGCTCCACACAGACAGCAGCCCCTGGGGGCACTGCTTTGTTTACTCATCAGTGTTATAGTGAAATGGCGACATTGGATGAAATGACATTATTTGAGGACCTGCTGTATTACTCTTATTAATCTGAGAGCGAGCTGTCTCGTCTCCAGATATTTTCCTCCTGATGTGACTTACAATTTAGCCCCAGCTCCATTTTTCCTAGCTGCCAGGGACATTCCTACACTTGGAATTCTTTTTTTTTTTTTTAAGATTGATTGATTGATTTATACAAGCACTGGGTACAGTCAGAAGCACGGGAAGGTGAGAGAATTCACCAGAGCCAGAGCGGAGAGTAGAACAGGCAGAATGATGAAGTACACTGCTGAGGGGAGCAGTGGGTGCGGCAGGAGAGGTCTGCGCGCCATGTGGGACCCTCGCCAGTGGCCGGGGATTGAACCAGCGCTGCAGAGGCTGCGGGCAGCTTCGCAGCCCAGCGCTCAACCGCTGCACCACCAGGGGAAGCCCCTACACTTGGAATTCTTCTGGGACTTTTATAAAGAAGGAGCATCTTCACCCTAGAAAGGATGAGTGGCTGAGAATTCAGAATACTCGGGCTTTCCTAAGTGAGAGGGGCAGGAGGTGGTGTCTGAGGTGGGCGTTAGGGAAGAGGAAGCTGGTGGGAAGGTGACCCCGCCCATCACCATCACCATCCACCTCCATGGCGGGTGGTAGTCTTTTGTGTTCCTACTTGTGTTCCTATTTTCTCTGTCTTTTATACTTGACTTTGTAAAAAATTGTGGCCTGGGCTGCTTTGCTCTGCCTTTATGTTTAGGTGACAAAGACACTCAGGAGTCTGGAGCCTGATGTCCCTTTCCATTCTCTTTCTCGGTCCCTCCCAAACCCTGCAGTACCTGCCACAGAGCGACAGGTCTTCCAGCCCTGGCCGGAGCGGCTGAACAACAACGTGGAGGAGCTGCTGCAGTCCTCCCTGTCCCTGGGAGGCCAGGAGCAACCATCAGAACACAAGCAGGAGCAGGAGCAGGGGCAGGAGCACAAGCAGGAGCAGGAGCACAAGCAGGAGGAGGGGCTGGAACTAGAAGAGCAAGAGGAGGAGCAGGAGGAGGAGGGCAAGCAGGAGGAAGGACAGGGGACAGAGGAGAAACAGGAATCCATGTCTGGGCTGCAGAAAGAGGCCAAGTCTAAGCTCCGGGCTGAATTTATGTCTTCCAAACCTTTCTCCTTCACTCCCCGGGTGCGGGAAGTGGATTCTTCTCCTCTGATGATGGAGAACATCCAGGAGCTTATTCGATCAGCCCAGGAAACGGATGAAGTGAGTGACATGTACGATGAAGACTCTATCTGGAAAAACCAAAGCCCTGGCAGGTACAGGAAGTTCTGACCACCCCTTCCCTCCGGCCCCGCCCTCCCTGCTGCCTGCTTGGGAATGAGAAGTCCACATTCCCAGCTTCGGCTTTCAACCCATTCAGCCCTACCTGGCCTTCAGGTGCACCTGGCAACTGCCAGCCTTACCTGTTCGGGGCCCATCACTGGCTTAACCCCTGTCCGGGCTGCCAGTTCTCTGTGTCATAGTGCAAAGAGCCCTATACCTGCCGCTTCCAGGCTGGGCTTCTGGTCTTATCTCAGGCCCTGGTTGGCATTAAACCGTGAGGAGATCACTTCCCCTTCCTGGACCTCGGTTCCTCATTTGTAAAAGGAGGTAGTTTGTCCAGAGGCCTCAGAGGCCTCATCCAGCATGCTGAAAGCCTGTGCCCATGGCCACATGCTAAGGGGAGGAGAAGAGAGTGGCTGTGGCTTCCGCCCCAGCCCCTTGGCCCGTCCCCACCAGCCAGCACTGTCTTCTTGCAGCCTCCTGCATCTGCCCCACGTGGACGCCTTGTTGATTCTGTGTTATTCTATTGTGGAGAACACCTGCATCCTCACTCCCACAGCCAAGGCCTGGCAGTACTTGGAAGATGAGACCCTTGGTTTCGGGAAGTCGGTACGCCCATCATGCTCACAGGTGCCCTCTAGTACTCTGCCGGGCCTTGGGAGTAAGGGACAGGCAGGACTAGAGTGAGAAAGTGAGAGTATAGTGCTGGAGAGAGTCTTTCCAGATGAGAATCCTTTCT